CTACGTGTGCTTGGGGATGTCTGGCTGTCTTCTACTTACGACACAGTTGATATTCACACTGCTCACCACCGCACTCGCTGCATGCTTCTCCTGTCTTGTATGGATGCACTGGGTAATTTCCACTGTGAAGGAAAATAACACTGCTCTCAAACAGCCCTTGGGAAGACATTAATATCTACTGCTAAATAGGTTTTAACCCAAGTATGGCTACACTTGCGTGGATAGAATGATGGTTTTTTCAAGAGTCCTGTCCAAGTGCTCTGTGCTCAAGACATGCAGTTAAACAGAAGAGAGATTAAGTGTAACGGGACACCCTTTTGTTTAGGAACCTGGTATTTCTATTCCTAGAATCTAGGAACTTTAGTATTGCTGGGAATTAAATAATAATAATAAACCTGGGAATTAAAGCAGTCTCAGAGTTGGGTAATTTGTGTGTGTGGAGACTCTGGACTCTCATAGCTGGCTCTGGCTGTGGAAACAAGAGAAGGTTCAGTTACTCTGTACATATGTGTGTATTCAGCCTTGAAGAGGAATGGTCTGAGGTTGGAGAACCTCTCATAGATGCGGATTTCATCCATTTGTTGGTTAATATTTTAGGAATGATGTCTGTCTCCTGCTCCCTCCCTCTGCCAGTGGTGTTAATGGGATCAGCTACCTCTGGTACCTCTGGTGCAGGCTGATACTGCACCAAACACAGCTCAGGGCTTTGTTCCAAGCATGGCCAAAGCAAGACTTACAGCATGCCTCAAACTGCCCATAAACACAGAGAGGGATTTTGTAAGCATGAAATCTCAGCAATGAGATGAAACTTCATGGTAAAACCTCATTACTTTCAGCAAGGCGAGGCTTTCATTGCTTGCTCTAAGCTGAAGCTGTACCTCAAGTACATTCACTCGAGGAAACTGTGTATGCATCTTGCCTGGACCTTGGCAGAGCTGAAACAAAGCAATGAAACTGCTGCTTCTCAAAATCAAGAGCTGGATGTGACATTACTCCACTTGTTAGCAGGCAACTGACCATTTGCAGTGTCCTCACCCAGCAGGGAAGGGCCCAGCTTTAAAGCCCTCTCTAGACCCCCTGGCTTCTCCAGAGAGCCTCCTGCCTGCTTTTCTGGGTGCTGGTGAAGGCACCACTCCTCCTCCCTATGCCAACATAGGGCAAGAAATACAGTGGAATTTTGGCCCTCTGCACATTTGGATGTGGGGCTTCTGGGGAGAGCAGCAGCTGTGTAATTTTGAGGCATCTAGTCAGGGGTACATTTTCTTCCAATGATGAGGCATGGGAAAAGGAATGCCAAACTTGCTTGAGTTGAAGGGCTGCCTGGCCTTGGCCCAACATGGTATGCATGTAAGGCTTTTAAAGCTGCAGTTATACCATGGAGGTATTAATTAGCTGGAGAAGAGAATAATACATCCATCCTACTGAACATCCTACTGACTATGCATATGAAAGACCTCGGATCAAAATTTGTCTTGAGGAGCCCCAGCCTCTGAAGCAACCCTCAGTTGCTAAGACTGCAGGCTGCCAGCACTGTACACTTCAATGTTTATCCAACCCATTGATTTAGGGATTTAATTCTTCAGGCACATGTGGGAATATCTTCATATTTTAGTTTTGCACCTTGGCAACTGTCTGAGGTCATCTTGGCAATCAGGAGCAAGGGTTTAATTTCCAGATGATCACTTCAGTATTTTCATGTCAACATCTTATATTTAATCCTTTCTTCCAGTCCCATTGCTTTGTGTATCCAATATATAGCCCACATTTAGCAAATGAAAAAAAGCTGGTTGGACAAATGTGTACCTTCTCTATTTTGGACACTATTTTCCCCACAAAAAACAGGATCAAATGGACTGATCTAATAAATTTGTATGTTGTGGAAGGGAAAGGGTAGGACCCAAACCTTGTGAAATATTCATGACAAAAAACCTTACGGTGGCCCATAGTTGCAGACGAAGTGTGCTGCGTTGGTTATGGAGGTGTAGGTCACCTTGGGACAGAAGTGGACAGCACAGCCAACCTTGTAGCTTGTAGCCCAAACTACCTGCAAAGACAGATGGATACACTGGTGACAAAGGCTTTGATTCAGCACCTGACAAGTTAGGAGAAGACCTGCTCTCTTCTGTTTTATCACATACAAATGGGATGAGGAGGACTTCTTTGGCAGGCTTCACAGGGAAAAGCAACAGTGATGGATCTCAAAATAATAGTTTGTACTGAAAAAAGACTGATTATTTTACCCAATTCACCATGTATTTGTTAAAACTATGCTGAAAGAAGACAACTGGTTGTAACAGGTTGTTTTCCTTTATGCAATGGAGAAAGTTCATCCCCATTGTTCCAACTTAATCCATTATCTTTTTGTCTTTCCTGCTGCAGGAGCTGAGTTCACACCTGTGAAGAAAAGGCTGCATGATCTGCTATAGCTGTTATGAGGGCTGGCTGCCCCTTTACTAAATCCCGTGTGGACATAAAGCAAATTGCCAGAAGGCACTGGTTCTTTGGGAGGAGGATTGTGTCTGGGCTGCAGTCCTGCCTTTTAACATCATGGCCGTGACTAAGATAATCTAGAGGCAAGGCCACTATTTTACTTACTGATCCTCTCTCTACCAGAAGCTTTTCTTTGTGATCCTACCAGAGTGCAGCCAAGTGCTGCAGTCCTGAAAAAGTAAGTCCCATGACAGCAGGAGAGGGGAGACAAGGGCACAGCAGTACTTGAGGGTGATGTACTTGACAGCAGTGATGACAGACTACATGAGCAATATTGGAGGATCCTGGCAACTTAGAACGTAACTACATTTGTGCTTCCACTGACTTAGAGGGGAGGTCAGGCCCTTTCTGATTATGCCTGTTTGGTACCAGCCCTGGGAAGAGGGGACAATCCTCAGGCTCCTGAAGGTCTTCTCAGTGCAGTGCTTGTGTGCACAGACATATATTAAGATTACAGAACCTGGAAAAATTAATTGAATCTTCAACAGAAATGTAGAGCTTTTGTATCAAAATAGCAAGGCTGATTCATGGTTTAGATGCAGAAATGCAATGCCTACCTGCGTATAGTGGCCACATACTTTACTGCACCTCTTGGTGGTGTAATCATAGTATTCGACCTCGTGGAACCAAGAGGCGAGGGCTGCTTTCACGGTAAAGACATGAAGTGAGCCAGTCCAGATGTTTTCTCCAACAAAATTAAATCTGGGGTGAGTTTTCCCTTGCTCTTTGAGGTGTATATTATGTTCAAATACGCATTTCTTTGCCCAGGCTTTTGCAGTCTTTGCCAAATCTGGATCCCAAGTCTGCAAAATAAAGACAACCAAAAATCACTTTGTTATATTGGCAGTGCAGTAATTCAGAGCAGCTCTTAGGAGAAGCTGGGTCTCAGTAGTGTATCTGCTTTCGGTTAATTCATTTTTTGCTTCTGTTAAGACTTAGAGAGCTACACGGTAGATCAGCTTGCAGGTTTGTTTCTGATTAGAACTTAAATTGCTGATTAAGCTTGAGGAGATTTTTGGGGTGGTATATGATCTTGGCTGACTGGTTCGCTGGACACCAAGACCAAACACAGTGTTTGTGGCACAATGGACATTTCAAGGCTGTGCTGGCCATGACAGAACATTAATGTAAATTAAACTGAATTTACATGGGACCTGCAAAATGAGGGTAGTGCTTACCGTATCAATAATGCAAAAGTCCTGTGTAGCCTTGTATTTGCCTAAGGCCATGGCTTGTAGGTCAGTTCACAAGCACACTGGGATTTTGGGGACAGTTTAAACTCAACCCTCCGGTGAGCATCATTGTGTTTGGTGACTTGAAACATTAGTGCTGAATACATATTTGTGGAATGACTCATTCACTTGCTATTCAATTTTAGAGAAAGTGGTTATTTAAGCAACTATGTAAATGTCATTTGTTTGCACTGGAGGTGGTGTCTGCTCCTGCTGAGTTTTCTTGTGCACACACCTTGATTAAGCGATTACAGCATTGTACCTCCTGGTAGATACAGTACCACAAGTGTATGCTTGTAGTCCTAGTTATACTTTATGTTATGTAAATGAAGTTACCCAGCACTGAACTATTTTGTATTGAAGTTTTCTTTAAAAATAAAAAAACGGAAACTTTTTTATTTGTCCTTCTCTGAATTAATTAAAATAGATTACTTGCTTCTGCAAATGATGGAAACTCTAAGAAAATTGTTTTGAATGGATGACAAATGATGAAGGAAAAGGTGTATTTTACAATTTACCTTTTTGTAGATTTTTTGGTAAAATCTAACAAAGGTAGGTTGCTCGATTTTAATTCTATGTTTTACCTAAGTAACCATTTTTTGTACCGCATCTAAGTTTGAAACAATATGTATTGTTTACACTACCAGTTAGTAATTAAAAATCACAAGATCACACCAAAATGCATCTACAGAGATTTGAAAATATTTTTTAACCCATGTCTTCCATTTCTTCCTTTGCCTAACGTTTGTGGAGGGTGTATTTTCTCACTGTGTTGGGGTGGACACTGGCCAGGTGTTAAGCCACTCTATCACTGCCACACCAAAGCCACTCTATCACTGCCCTCCTCAGCTGGGTGGGGAGAGAAAATGCAACCAAAGGCTCCTGAATTGAGATAAGACAAGGAGAGATTATTCATGAGTTACTGTCATGGGAAAAACAGATCCAGCTTGGGGAAATGTATTTATCACAATTTGAAACACTTTTCTCCCACCTCTCCCTTCTTCCAGGATATAACTTCAGTCCTGATTTTCCACTTCCTCCTCCCGCCCAGCAGCACACAGAGACATGAATTGGAAGTTATGCTCTGTTCATCAAACACTGTCTCTCCTGCTCCTGTGTGGGGTCCCTCCAACAGGAGATAGTCCTTCACAAACTTCTCTTCCTTCTCACGGGGTATAGCTCCTCACAAACTGCTCCAGCATGGTCCTTTCACAGGGTGCAGTCCTTCAGGAACACACTGCTCCAGAGTGGCTCCTCCACAGGGTCACCAGTTCTGCCAGCAAACCTGCTCAGTGGGGGCTCCTCTCTCCATGGGGCCACAGCTCCAGCCAGGACCCTGCTCCAGCACAGGTTTCCCACAGGGTCACAGCCCCCCTCAGCCTCCACCTGCTCCAGTGTGGAGTCCTCCACAGGCTGCAGCTGGATCTCTGTTCCTCCATGGACATCCACGGACTGGAGGGTCACATCCTGCCTTACCATGGGCTGCACCATGGGCTGCAGGGAAATCTCTGCTCCAGTGCCTGGAACACCTCCTGCTCTTCCTTCTGCACTGACCTTGGTATCTGCAGAGCTGCTCCTTTCACATGTTCTTACTCTTCTCTGGCTGTAATTGCTTGTGCACATCCTTTCCTCTTCTTGAATGTATTTTCCTAGAGGCACTACCACTGTGGTGGATGGACTTGGCCTTGGCCAGCAGTGGGGAAGTGGCTCTGTGAGACATGTGGGAAACCTCTGGCAGCTTCTCATAGAAGCCACCCCTGTATGCCCCCTCTACTTCCAAAACCTGTCAGTGCAAACCAAATATACCCACAAAACTTGGACATAAATAATTTAGATAGGAACTCAGTATACCAAGTATTAAATTTGGGGAAGGGAGTCTTATTTCAAGGGAGCAATTGGTATTTCCTTAGATACTTTTAAGGACAAAAATCTGGCATTGTAAAGAACTTATCTTCCAGTCCTGCAAGATAAGTCTGCCAGTTAAGACAGAAGCTTCATTTTATGTCTTGTCAAGGCTCTGAGATGATCATGATGAAAGATGTACAACAGTGAGAGATGCACCTTAGCGCTTCATGGTCTCTTTTTTTCACATTCTGCTTTTTAAGAGTCCATGCACCTCCTCTCCTTCATCCTATAGTAGTAATAGGTTTAAAGTTTGATAAAGGTATGCATAATACTAAGTTTAAGGTTGCATAGTAAGTTTAAATATACTTTCTATTTTGTGTGAATGCTTAAACTAGCTGACAGATGAAAAGCAATGTACAGAAATGTTCACAATGATCTTTAACTGCAGTTACGCTCCTTATTTGCTTATAATATTGCATTTAAACAAAGATTGGACTAAATGGCATGGGAAGAAAATGCACAGGAGAGGGAGATTTGCACATAGATATCACTGGTTTTTAAAGAAACAATACTTACACTTTTTTCCCTCTATGAACTGCTTCTCAATTTTCATTTTGTAACAAGTTGCTTACTGACTTAAGGAGGAAAAATTTAATGTATAAAATGTGAAAAGTGATGGAAGGCAGCACTTATTCAAAGGAGACTGTTGTGAAGCCCTGATGAAACTGTTGAGACTGCTGTTTTTGAGGAACCTTAGAACAGAACTAAGCAGTGCTTTGGGTGGATGAGAAAGGGCTCATATCTGTCAGGCAAAAAAAAAATTAGATCAATGTTCTCATTTTATAATACATGTATTATAAATATCAATGGTTGAGCTTTGTAACTTGCAATTAAAGGAGATTCCATTTTGCATTTTCTTTATAAACTAGTTTTCCAAAATATGGGAATGCCCTGAATTCAGTCTTAGTTTTTACATATCTAGGTGGACAGTTACCTCCAGCAAAAGAGAAGTTCCCTGTGAAATAAAAGCACCATCTTCTTCTCTGCCCTTCTGAAGTGCCAAAAGCCACTCAAAAATACTGTTTCCAATCCAATGCTTTTACTTTTGTAATAGATTTTATCATGTATTTTACTGCTATCTCCACATTAAATAGTTTCTGTGAGAGGTCACATTTAAGATTAGGGGTTTTGCAGTGTTTTGAAATAAACTTACCATGATTCAGTTTCTGTTTTAGATGCAATTTATTTGTCTCTCTTATGCTGCCTTTTTTTTCTTTTTTTCAGATTTCAGTTAATTACTTTTTTAAAAGAAAAAATTAAACACAATTTAAAAATATGAATACTGCACTTTTAACACATCCTAACAATATTTTGTTTGTTTAGGGCCAGTAAAGCAATGTAGAAAATACAGTCCAAAGCAACATGTTCTGAAGGTCAAGATGCACAGCTGAAGAGAGATGATGTAAAAGATTAATCTAGAGGAGAAACGAAGTAAGTTTCCTGTCATGTTTGCAATTCAAGTTTGACTACTGTGCAGTTACCCCTCCCAAATGGGGCACTTATCTTTTAATGTCTGAAATGGAAAATGAACTTTTTTTATATATATAAGTTCAGTTGGGGTGTTGCTAACGACAGCTGTGGCTATGTCCTCTTCTGGTGGTGACCATGCAAGATAGTAAGGAAGTGGGGCAAAAAGAAAGAGCTCAGAATTAGGATAATGGCTGTGGTCCACTGAAAGACAGGCAGTGTTTTGCATGGTAGCTGCAGATGTTGCTCCTGAGGTGCCCGGGAGCGGGTGGGGGGCAGAGCAGTGGGGGACACGACTGTCTCCAGCACTCGATCCTGCTGCACTTGGTGCTTTTTGTCTTTCCCTGCAGGCCCAGCCCCTCGGAACCGCCGCTCTGCTGGCTCAGCCCGTGAGAGCCTTGCAGAGAATGCTCAGAGAATGCTCAGAGAAAGCTGTCCAGCGCTGTTTGGCAACAGGATCTGCCCCCGCCGACTCGAGCATGAAAGCTGTGCTTAGATGTGCACAAACCCCCACTCCTCGGGCTGCCGGGCTGCGGGTGGTGCCTCGCAACCAGGAGGTTCCTCCCAAAACACAACACAACGACACCGCTCGCCTGAGGGCTGGGACTTGGGCTTCGAATGAGGAATTTCAGTCAGAGCAGAACTGTGCACATACCCAATTGCAAAAAGCCACCTGATAATCAGAGCCTTCTTCTCTGCTTTGAAAAGCGGTCGGTCTTATGACCCCCGGGTTTTGTGGGGTAGTTTTCTGATTTTTTTTGCATTTGATCACAAAAGCAATCTTTGAGAATCGTAAACGGCATTGCAATGCTATAAATTTGCGTATAAGTCATGAAGATTCCCTTACCATGTAGAGCATGTTGCTGGCTGGTGGATCCACTTGCGACCTCAGTGTGTTATGGGTTTGCACACATTCCCGAATAAACTTTGGATCCCGAGGATCAGGCAATGTCGTTGGTTCGTAAGAATCAGAGGAGTAACAAAAGAGTAGTAAAGCCAGCACACAAGAAGCAAATCTGCTTTTCATTGGGAAAGGGAGAAGAAGAGAGCCGGTGCAAGCAGAAAGTCACCGCAGGGGATCTAGGGCATCCCGGGGACGGTGCCGGGGTGCGGTGCTGAGAGCCGGCGATCCCCGTCCCTGCTCCCCTCTCCGGAGCGCTCCTCGGCCTGAGGGCAGCGGGGCGTGGCCTGGCCCTCCTCAGCGGGAGGAGCGGGGCGGAGCGGGGTGGGCGCGGGCTGTGGGCTGAGGGCTCCCGCGGCTGCTCTGGGCTCGGGCGGGCACCCCCAAAGCCGAGTGTCCTGTTTGAGAGCCCGCTGCCTGTGCTTGTACTGCTACTCACTCGCTGTACAGCACACCGCAATGGAACGCCGCCGGGAAAAGTATCAGTGTCGGTCCTGCCCCCGCAGGGCCAGCGCGGAAAGTCAGTTCATTTCTGCGGTTTGTGCACAGGCACCGAGGAAGTTTTCTTCGACCGGTTCCGTCACCGAGCACTTGCTTAAGGCATACACTGCAAATGTCATTAGCCCTTCCTTACAGTCGTGCTTCTCAACATCTGCTCTTCCAGCAGATGCTTTTTAAAAGCAGAGCGTTTCGGCTGTACGAAGTAGTTTTAGTTCTACCAGCAGCATTTTGCTTAGAAGATTCGTGGGCTGGACTTACCTTAGCCATGGTTATTGAGCACAGTTAGTCACAGGAAACGAGTCATATTTCAAGAACACTGCTATGAGAATAAGGAAATCAAGCTACAAGTTCAGATTAGAGCTGTAGCAGCCTTGTCTCTTTTTTCCTTCTTTCTTTAATTGTGGTGGACAATCGTCTCTCCTGTCCTTCAGGTTTCTTTGTTACGATTTCTTTGGTCCCAGTAATCCTATTAATAGCAATCACTATGTATTGCAGAAAAGTTTTGGATAAATTTTCTTCTTTTGATGAAACTACATGCTATTAAGACTGTTGCTTTTTCTCTTTCTTTTCCTTATATATTTTCTTCCTTCACACTACAATCAGATTGTTATAAAATAAAGCTGCTTTATTTATTTATCCATGTATTTATTTGTTTATTTATATATTGGTCATTCAGTGTCATTTCGCTCTAATCCACCCCAAGGAATCTATTAACAAGAACCTTGATTTGGGCCCATTTTTATTCTGAGGGATGACAAGCTGCAATGTGGCTCAGAATTTGAGTCACTGTGTTCTTAGAACAAAGGAGGAAAAAAAAACCAGCTTCAAATATTGATAGCACAGTTATGCATTGCTAATACCAGTCAGTATCTCCTGGCTTGAAAGATTCCTCTCACTAACAAACATATATTGGAACAATGGGAGTCAGGTTGAGGGCTAAATGTCTCTTAAAACAAACTGAATCCATCAGGGGTTTGGACGCTTTAAATGAGGTTGAGATATTCCATTTCTAAACCAGTATCTGTCCTGGGGGCACATTTAATCTTCTATCTGTTTCCTGCTACCTGAAAGCTCATGATGGCTGTCATCTACTCTGCATTTAAGATATTTTCACCATCTCACATCCTAAAATTAGGCTTTCCCCATTGACACACCACTTTAATTCTTACTCTGCCAACTTTCCCTGGTATTTTTCTCCTTATGGAGAACAAGGATTAATTCTGAGAGAAGAACTAAACAGTACAACTGACAATAGAGTAATGGACACTGCCACACATAGGCTAAATATAGCAAAGAGCAAGCTTTATTCCTGTTCACAAAAAGTAATATATACAGTTAAATCTCCATTATCTGGGGAAAATTGTGTCTGGGATAACTGAAGGATAATGAAGATGAATTATTGCTTCTTTTGGATACAGTGTGCCACTTCAGACATGTCTTTGTGAAGCCCCAGGCTTCCAGGAGGATTGTTAGCACATGGAATAATATCTAGTATCTGTGGTCCCTCTAGCAACCTACCCCTAGAGCTAAGAGGCTTGTACAAACATAGGAGCATGTTTCAGCTACTTCCAATAAATTATACTACCTCTATTCACAGCCACTTATATCTTGCCTTGAGTGAAGAAGAAGCCTTTCCTATGCTGGATAATGAGAGATGACCAAATGTTTTTTTAAATGTGTGCCAATTGTGTGAGAGTAATACAGTGGTAGGATCACAATCAGTATCTTAATTGATCATTACTTATAAAAAAAAGTGTGTGGAAATTTCTGTTGTACTAGAAGTACAGCACCAGCACTCAATACGAGAAACAGTGGCCTTAAAATTAAAACACTAAGGCAGTATTGGTCACAAGAAAGCTGTGGATGCTCAGCAGGTGGAACGTCTGATGGCACAGGAGGCCTGGGGGGCCGGGGCCGCGGTGGCTGCGGCTGTGTATCCCAGTCCGGATACCAGTTGGCATAACCTAAATGTCAGTGAAGAAACTGATGTTAAGACCTAGTGTTAGCCATACTTAGAGGAAACCCATTAAGAATTATTTGATACGTACTTATCAGCTTCTCACGTTTCGTATTTTCTGCAAAGAGATCAGAAGAGGAAAGTATTGTGAGTACCATTCAATGGTGGTTCTAAATGTAAAGAGGTAAGCCTTTGCTGGTGCCTGGCTGATTGCACTGATGATGCCAGTTAATGCCAAAAACATCTTGCAAGGGGGAAGCAGGCCAGCAAGAGCAGGTTCCCAACTGGTATGGAGTTTATATTTTTTTATTGAATTGAGAGAGAAGCAGAAAAACCAGCTGTATCAGGAAGAATTTTTGTCATGGAGATGAGGGAATGAAAAATAGCAAAACATGGAATTTATTTAAAATTGTTACACATATCAAATTTAAGTAGTTACAGACAGAGAAATGTAAGTACTGATTTATCACAGAAGTACACTTCTACTAAAAGTTTTGATGCATTTGCAGGATTGCCTATGTGTATCCTACTGAAATTCCTCATTTGTCCTATAGGAGGAAATGGTAAAAGCGGGTGGTAGGATCTAACACTTAACTTTTAAATACTTTGTTTCTCCTGTCCCTCCCCCTAGTCTTTGAGATATTTCTGGGTTTTTCTGTGAGGCGTCAGTCTGAGACTTTCAGCCAGGATATTACAGAAGGAAGTAAGAGTACCAAATGCTCAATAATTTCTACAGCTAAAGCTGTCTAGAGCCTGGCTAGTAAAGACCAGGCCCATTAAACCACTGTATAAAATTCATATTTGATTTAAGACATTGCTGCATCTCCTTTATCCTGTTTATTTAAAACATTGCCCAGTTTGGGACTAGATGAATTGACACAAAGGTCCATTGCTGTTTGGAGCAGACTCAGAGTGACAGGGTTCAGGCTGTGTGCTTCCCTGCTGTGCCCACAGCCTGACACTGAAGAGACAGACCCAGCACAGTTGCTCTGGCTCATTAGAGGGGCGAAAGGGAGGAGGGAGCAGGCTGTGCTCCTTGCCATTGCCCACTTCTCTTCCAGGCCCAGGTAGGATGTTTCAGGGAACACCTCCCACTCCAGAGAAGTTTTTACTCCAACCATAGTCCTTTCTTTCATTGTTGGATCTTTGCAGGGTTTTGGAGTAGGCTGTGCAGGTTCAGCTCTACACTGGCTCCCAACACTGGTCAGACATGCCACAGCTGCCACAGGTCTGCTTCAAAGGGGTTACCAGTCCTTTATTAATTGTTCCTTGAGATTTGATTAAAATCCCCTCATCCCCTGAGCCTTCTGAGCTCTGTTACAACTATTCATTTAATTCGTTTCCACCAGCACTCTGATAACACTGAGCATAGTAGGGAAAAGATTTACAAACAAGATCTCACTGCTGTTTTTAAGAAAATTGTGGAAGTTAGAAATAACTGCTTCCTGGTACAGTCTTATTATTAGTTCAGAAATACAGTTGTCTGGAAAATGTGTTAGGACATGCTAAACATGCAAAAGAACAGAAGATAGATTTCCTGTGTCTGGTAGGAGAGAAGAACTAGACAGTGAATATTTGTTGGAGCTAAAATTTTGGATTTGAATTCCTGACCAGATAAAAGGGAGAAAATAGTCTGATACTTCCCTGCATCAGAAAGTCTGGCTTCTACTTCTGAGAGCCTTCAACAGCAAAGTATTTCAGTTATTTTCTTTTTACCCTATTCCTCCCAGAGTTTGGTACTGTTGCTATATGGTATGCTACAGACCCACTATGCACTTTGTGCAAATTGACTTGTTGTTGTTTTTCCACTGCTAATTACGTCACTTTTATTTCTATGCAATTTTCTTACTTGATCACTTTGGTCTTACCACAGAGCTTGTCTACACACTTGTCATTACTGCATCTACTGCATGGCTGTCCTTCTTTATATGGTTTTCTTGGGTAATTCCCCCTGCAAAACAGGAACAGTATTTTGTTAGCTGCCACTGAAAAGCTGTCAAGGGGAGGGAACACTGTAATCAAAAAACTGGTCATTGTAATTGTTTGAAATTCCTTCTAGATTGGATTAAAACTCTCACTGGCATGGGGAGAAGTTGACTCCTGCCACTGGAAATTGAGAATTCTCAGGCAATACTGTATTATTGCAAGCATACAAGAATTTGCCTCTAGTCCCTCCTTACCCACCTGAGTTAAAAAAACCAAACCTGTAAAAAGTAAGTAGAAACACTGCAAAGTACCAGATAAACTAGAGGATTGTCTTCCTTATATTTCTTAAATTACAATGTCTTGTTTGAAATTTGTGTAGGGCCAGAGAAAGATGTAATCTTTCTGAAGCAGGAAGATTACACCTTCCCCATTTTTCCTGCAGGTTGAAGTCAAAACAGATTTTCTTCCACCATCTGCATTATGGTGAGTGGTCGGAGCTCTAATCTGCAGTCCTGCTTTTTTTAGAATGAGATTTTTTGCAGTCCCAGCTATGTCCAGTAGGTTCTGTTCCCACTGGCCAGGGAAAGTTTCCCTTGGATAAGTGACATGAGGATGTAGCTTATTCTGAAATTTGTTACAACTGCACCCATCATTGTTGGCATCTGATACCAGACCCGTTGGGATATTTAAAAAAAAAAACAAAACAGAAAACCCCAAATGGCACAATTAACTTACGCTGGCCCATAGTTACAAACAAAATGCGCTGCCTTGAACAGTCCTGGAAAATTTTCAACTGTATTGCAGAAGTGAACTGCGCAGCCAACTTTGTAGCTCTCTGCCCAGATAACCTACAGGACAAAGGGAAACATGTAACACACTGTTCAAATACTGCCAAAGCAAGTGCATTAAGGGAAGAAGGAGAAGGGAAGTATCACTGGGGTATTTAAATCAGCTGACACAGGAACAACTTAACCCGAAGGGCAGCTGGGACAAATGACGGATGAATAGCCATTTTTGCACTTATCTGGCTCCCCTGTAAAATGAAATTGCCAGGGGATAATCCCTTTCCACCGTTATTGGAAGTAGAACTTGACATCCCTGGGGCTCCTAATATTTATTTCCAATCTCATGCAACAATAAATTGGGGGGGGTGCAAAGCCCTGCTGTAATTCCCTGCTGTAATCTGTTCCAAGCCTGTACTCAGATCTTTAGTGAAATTAGACTATATATATATACATATTAGACTATCCATATGTTAGACTATAAAGCACTGGGCATGTAAGACTCACCTGAGTGTAGTGACCACACTTGTCAGTACATGTATTTGTGCTGAAATCATAGCTGCTGACTTCATTAAACCAGGACCTGAGAGCTGCATCCACAGAGAAGATGCGGGCTGTACCAGTCCAGATGTTTTCTCCAACAAATGGGAAGGTGGGATGCATTTTTCCTGGCATGTCAAGGTGTGTATTATGGTTAAACTTGCACTTCTTTGCCCATGCTTTGGCACTCTTAGCTAAAGCAGCATCCCAGGACTGTAGAAAAGGAAGAAAATGAACTATAACCTGCATTGCTGTCACTTAGCTGAATTCAGACATTTTTAAACAGAAACTTGTTACAAATTCTTTTCCCCTTTTCTGCTTCCTATCCCTGCCTTCAGTTTCTTTCTTTTACTTGACATTTCTACTTGCATAACAAATTTTCATCTTCTTTCTCCCTTGGCTATTGCAAGACACTCAGGATCTATCCACTGTCCTGTTGTATCTGACTTGTTAATATATTTAGAGCTGGAGTGTAGTCTTTAAGCTGCTACACCTGGAAGGGGTAATTGTGTGAAACTTCCAGCTGTAGAGGGGCTTGGGGGACTTTGTGCCTAGGAGATGTTGGCTGTCCAGGGATTTTCACTTAGCAATTATTACCAGGCCAGATAGGAATTCTGTTCTGCTGGCCAGGACAGAAGGGAGAGTCACAGCTGCTCCCTTCCTCAGTTCCTTCTTCCTCTTTTCTCTTCTCCCTCCTCAGCAGATGGACAAAGCAAATAAAAGACTCACCCATCTCTGCTGGACTGAGAAGAAAACACTCCCAATCCAAAGAGGCACAAATGATAATCTAACAAACCAGCCTGGCAGACTTGCAGATTTTATGCTGGCAGGTCAAGTTCAGTACAGGGAAATTCAAGTTCAGGGATGTGTGAAAAAATTGAGTTTGCGCTCCTAATAAGAGGTTTGGATATGGCTATTTTCACTTGAAAGTTGTAGACTAACAAGCAAACAAAGTGTTAGAAACTCTTTGCAAAGGAATGGAGAATAAAACCACATATATAATCACAATTCTGCAGAAGTCCTGTTAAATGCTGTGTGCAGCACAGCACCCCACCTCAAGAAAGATACACTAGAACTAGAAAGGCCAGAGAGAACCTGGAGCAAGATGATCATTTTCAAGTTCAGAGGGCTTTCATATAGCAACAGAGAGTGCTCTGCAGCTGCAGTCAGAGACATCTGGACATCTTGTGTGAAACAGGTAAATAAGCAGCATTAGCTTGGTCTTGCAATATGAAGACCACACACTATTAAATGAAGCTAGGCATTAACAGGCCCAAATCAAACACCAGGAAATAGCAACACAAAACCTGTGGTTAGGCTGTGCTATGAGATGCTAGAACTGGTAAAAACTTTTATGACCTCAAGGCTGAAAAAAAAAATAAATCCATTTTACAAGAGCTTGTAAGTACCACTACTGGACACGTTGTAAGTACACCTTTGATTCAATAGGTTTAAATATATACGTCCTGCTGTTATTCCAGAGTTGCTGGGTCTTTGGTCTGAGCAGGTAAGTTTGTTCTTGTGCACTGGCTTTTCTAATTAAACATAATTTTTAACATGGCAAGAAATTGAAGTTGTTGGTACTCTCATCCCTTTACTATGAGCTTCCATTTGTTGAAATGACTCATACTCTGCATGCGGTTATGCATTTAACTTCCTTTCCAGCTATGCAGCACTGCTGGAGGGCTCAGAGAAGTGACATGCACTGACTGGGGTTACCTCCCTCAGCTAGCTACACACATTTTTCCTTATGTATTCCACTGAACAGCCTATGTTGTGACCTATCCATAACCTGTTCTGCTATTCACTGCATTTCTAGCAAGCTGCTTTTCATCCTAGATATCACTATCCCTACTCTTCAAATCCTGCTACAGCAAATGAAGATCAGGTATCTAAATGGATGTCCTGGAAAATCCCTTTATTCAACACATGTTCTAGATTAAAAGAAACAACAGATGATAGATTTTCAACAAATCCTGTTGCAGACTGCCTACTCAAAAAAGTTTTAAAAGCCAAACAGCTTCTTCGTGTGAAACCTGACCTGACATAAAACAGATTACTATCTCTCTTAGAAAGAGGTAGATGACATACTAAGAACTGAACACTTTTTTGCAACACAGCCCTTTTCTCTGGCTGAAGATGAGAGTAGCTAAATCTTGTACTAAAAATGAAATTACCTTCAAATTATTAAAATTGAATAATACTGTGAAAAATAATGTATTTTCTATTTCATACAAAGAACCAACATGTATGTTACAAAAATCATTAACTGAAATAGAAAGAATAGCACAATACAAATGAAGAAAAAGATAGGCTAAATCAGCAGCTCAATCTATAATAATTTCAAAAAGATCACAAACACCACCTTACCATGCGAAACATATTGCTGGCTGGTGGATTCACTTTGGATCGAAATGTGTTGTGAGTTCTCACACAATCTTCAATGAACTTTGCATCTTCTGTGTCAGGCAAGGGATATTGCAGATTAGCATGAATGAAAGTGAAGAAATCCAGTAAGAACAATGCAGCAAAGAAAAATGTGATTTTCATAATTCTCCAGTGTTTTTTCCTAAGCTTGAAAATGAAAAATCTCTTAGGTGGAGATGATACTTGCAAGCAATTTTTCAGAGGCTGTCCCCTGGGTGTGGAAGCACTTGAAAGTGTCAAACAGGAAGCGAAGAGCAATTGCTTAATCAGGTAACAACTCTATCTGACATCATAGCTGGCAGTCAAAGGGTAGAGTGTGAAACAGGCATCTGTTTCATGCATATCAGCAAGGACCAACACTCCGAACATGCTTCTGTCTTTTCTTTGAGTGTGCTCCATCTTGGGTGACTGCCAAACCATTCTGTGATTGTTGGTCTTATCTGAAGAGATGCTGCTGAACAGCTTTCTTAAAACCTGCATCAATCATAAAAAAATGCAGCTTTGACAAAACAGAAATCTGCTATTTAGCTGATTTTCCAATAGTACTTCTTAGTCATACCAGCTTAGTTACAATTATGTTGCCGGACATTGCTTCCATATCAGAATTACTCAAGAAATAAACAGAATTAGGAAATCTGTGCTTCAGCAGGAGGGAAAAAAAAGCGTTCCTGAACAGCACCTTGCTGCAGAACAGACATTCTGGACTTGTTTGGCATGTAACAAAAATAAAATTTGGAAATCGCAAGCTTGAGTATGTATTGATTGTCTCCTCCTTAGTTATTTGCTATTACCTGCTAGCCTGAAATCACTGGAGAAGTCTTCCTGTGCCTATAGAGAGCAGCTACAGGATTATCACTCCTGGTATAACATTCCAAGTCTGATCACTTCTCAGGACAGTAGGATGGTATGTGTTGGCACTTGTATTGTCTCTCCAACTGTTCCACAAGCTGGCTGAATTTTTTTTTTTTCAAACATAAACCAAATTGTACAAATATGCAAGAGCATAAGAAGAACCATGTGTTTTAAGAGCTAAGGACTTGTAACCCAGTTTTAGGTAGGTTTACAGGGAAAATTTGTTGCTAACAGGTTGTAAAATATGTTAATGGGTCTCATTCCCTGCTCAGTTTTGCTGGTCAGACTTAATATAAAACTACATGCAATTTACACCAAAAAAATCATCATGCTAAAACTGCACCATTAATTTAACAGTACAGTGATCTTGCACTTATATATGTATGCAGTTGAAATTCTGTGTTTGGAAAATGAACTGAGATTTTATGCAGTAGGAAGTTTTGATGAGTCCAGTATAGTCTAAGTTATAAAACGCGTTCTTGCATTTCTGGCTCCATCTAGTGATCTATAATTAAAGCAGAAGTTCAGCCCGCCCTGGAGCATCTATGATATTTTCCCAAGAAGAGAGTTTTTGACTTTTGCCAGCATTAAGCAATGGATCTCAACAATTAAGTTTTGGAATTTGGATATCACATTATATAGTCTGGACAATACAAGCCATTGCCTATCCTTCCACAGATCTCAAATGAAATTTAGCATCATGAGCTGGGTACACGCAAGAAGCTCTACAGCCTCATGATTTTGAAAAATTCCCCCATGTTTACATCCCACTTTCACACTTCTGACCTACTTTTAGCTCAAAATGGCTGAAAAAATAAAACCAGATTTTTAATTTTTCCTTAATGTTCTATTTAGTCAGAGGACTAAAAACTGGTGAATTACATCCTATTACATAAATCCACAATGCCTTGGAACATGTGAAATTACATTTAATTTTGTTCTCGAATCATCAATTTCCCCACAGAGTATTGTTCCTTGTGTTGGGGAGAGAAGGTCTGACCTTGATTTACTAGGTTCAGTTGAACGAATGGGGTGGATCTGCTGGGTTTTCTTATTCTGTCCACAGGATTAGGCAGCTGCAATTAGGCCTTCCAGACCTGTGAATAAACTAATATTCTGACAAGCATTGCTACTACTATTGCACCTCAGGGCAGAAAACAGATTACAGGACAGGACAGTGGTGGTATTGAATTTCCACAAGAACTATTCTGTAAGAAACCATTTTGTTGGATTCATCAAAAGCTAAAAAATACTAAAATTATTTTGTAATAATGAGGTTGTAAACAGTTTCACAATTAACAGAGGAGGCAATTTGTATGGGACAAGACTGCAGATAGTTTTACTGTAATTTTGAGGCAATCTGGATGATTACTCCTGTAAACTTAAGTGCAAAACTTAAGTTCATACTTATCTTTGTAAACTTTGTAGCTTTGGTGGTACACGTTTTTACACCAAAGAGTGTTACCTGCCAAACTTAAGAGATGATGGGCATTACAATTTAGGCATCTGCTTTTTCTTAGGAGATCCTTCCAATACGTTCTGCATGTGACTAACCACACTGTATTTAATTCAGGTAAAATCAGAAATAAATTTAGTTGTTGATTATTTTTTCTTTTCTTTTTTATGAGATTTGTAAGGAATAAAATTTTCTTTGGCTGGATTTTATCCTTCTATTGACATTTTTGCTAAAGAATAGCCGCAGATATTCTGCAATTACTGTGATTACTTTGAACAGCATCTCCAGACTTAAAGAATTCTGAACTGTGTGGCTTGGTAACTATAGAACTGGAAATAATTATTTTATAAAGTTAATGTAGTAATCATGCAGTGAAATGAGAAGTGAGGCTTTCAATGAGGTTGATACTGTGGACAAGAAGAGTGAATAATTGTACAAGGTACTGAGGTGAGCCAGTGCAGGGGTAATGCAGTAATTGCTTGATATTAAAAGACACTGAGCTGCCAGTTGCTACCATATGTACATCTTTGTGTTATTTACAGATGGTGCTGATTTATATGGTAGGCACTAAACCATACACATTTGACCAAAGACAACTCTTACTTGAATGTAACAACTACAAACCTCAGTACAGTTCTGCACTATGAAAATTAACAATCTGACCTCACCATACCAATTTAATGGCATCAGCAGCATCAGAAACTTCATGACCTCCAATACAAATATTCTCCCCAATAGATGTGAAATTAGAATGGTATAGATGTTTCTTACTTAAGTATATGTTATGTTCAAAAATGCATTTGTCTAATGCCCTTGCAGTCTGTGCCAAAGCTGCATCCCAAGTCTACAAAGCATGAAAGGTGAAATAGTTGTGCAATGTTGAGTTACAACAAAATCTTAAACAATCAGATTAAACCAGTCAGCAATCAGCAGATAAATATCATATGCTGGAGTTTCATAAAGAAATACTTTCCCTTATTTAGGCAAGTACCTCTGTTTTATTTTAATTGACTTTTCCTATTGCAGCACAGAAATACGAACAATTTTCATTAGATGAGTTTTTCCTCCCTTCACTGTTGAAAATTAACTTTGTAACAGTACTTGCTAGCAACTGAAAATATATTTGAAATGCAGTTTTGTCTTCAGGCAAGGAATTGCTGGCATGTTAATTAAACAGGAAACCTTTTGTGTTTTATTGTTGAACAGGTCATTAAGGATTTTGATTTGATACATAAAAATTAATTCAAAGTAAAAATGCACAGGTACTGTAGATTCAATAGTACAAATATTTTAAGTATTTTTAAGAGAGCCTCTGGAAACAAATATTTACTCTTCCTATGGTATGGCTTTAAATACACATCAGGGCATTTTACAAAGACAGTTTAATGAAGTAAAAGTGCCAATTCTTGGCCAGTAACTCATTCTACTACCTCTTACTTCTTTGCAGCTGATTCCTGAACATGAACCATCTTCTGTATTTGTCTTCCAGTCATGACTGTTTTTCAGAAAGTTTACCATTAAAGTGCCCAATTTTATAACTTAATAGAAGATGCTGTGAATCATTGCCTGGGTTTACTGCTGTCCGTATGTTTCAGTTCACTCTTAGTTTCTTTTTGGACTTAACAGTTAACTCCACTGGCTGCTGATACTCTTTCCTCCCTAAGGCCTTCGGTTTTTTTCAAGCCATACTTTCAGTCATAACTTTTCAAGGTTTCCATATTCCTGAGCATTTAAAACTGTGTGGCAAAAACTTAATCACTTCCAAAATCACGACCCCTCCCCTTATCTGCCTTTATCGTAAAACCCACCCAAGCAAATGGCATTCTTTGCTGAATAAATGTGTGCTCCCAAGTATGTTCAGGGCGCCATTTAGCTGCCCTTTGCTAACATGTTCCTCTTGTGGCGCTAAGCGGACTAAGCATCAAACATCTGCTTTTTCTGAGCTTTCTTCGCTTCTGTTTAACGCTTTCCACCAAAAGTTTTCACTTGCCACCGGACCTGTCCCTCAGCCCTAGGAGTACAGTTCACGTGTGTGCCTTTGAAAGGGAGCCCGCCTGACGCGGTCGCTGCCGCTGTGGGGCTGTGCCGGGCCGTGGGGCCGGGCTGTGGGGCCGTGCCGTGCCGTGCCGTGCCGCCGGGGGCGCTGTGCCGGGCCGTGGGGCGCGGGGCGCGGCCCGGCCGCGGGAAGGCGGCGGGGAGGCGGCGGCCATGGCGCTGTCGCCCGTACAGCAGGTGTTGGTCTCGGCCGTGCTGGTGCTCTGCGTCTTCGTCGTCATGCCCAGGATGTTCGCGGGAGGAGGCGGAGGGCGGCCCGGCCGGTCTCCGCGGGGCGGCAAGGCCGGCCCCGGCCATTACGATCCCCGTCAGCACGGCAGAGGTAGTAGCCGGGGCGATGCCGCGGGTTCCGTGCGGGAGCCGCCGCGGGCTCGGGCGGGCTTGAAGGGAACCCCAGGAGTCGAGAGGGAGGTGCCCTCGTCCGGCGGGAGGCACCGGGGGTACACGGGCCTGGTCAGACCGCATCGAGCTGGCCTGTGTGCGCCTTAAACATCCCCATCTCCTGCGGTGTTCTGCTGTTCTGGTTCGCCAGTGCTTTGGGTTTTATCTGTGTTGTCTTACCAAAACTGCTCTTAAGTGCAGGAAACACCCGATAATTGGAAGTGAGGGGCGGTGTGACGAGCAGTGCCCGAGGGGCGCAGTCGAGCAGATGAGCTGAGAGGTGTCACAGGGAAAAATCTATTGCAATAAGGAAGCCGAGTGTTGCTTGTACTAAATATACGCACAGTCATACAAAATCTGTCCGCCAGTATATTAAAAAAGAGTCCAAGATGCTTGTTTAGAAAAGGTATCAATGAATGGGTTACAGAGTTTACTGCTTGCAGCAGCTATAGCTGAATATCCATGTATATTAAGTCATGCCCAGTGCATGTCACGATCTAGCTCAGGGTCGAAGGATACACCTTTGTTTTGACAATCACAAAAAGCCTGGTTTTGTGAGGTAGCTCTGTGATTCGTTGACGATGCCTTCCAAGGTGTTTCAAACCGAGAGATGCCTAGTTGCTGTAATCCTCCAAATCTCTCTGGAAGTAAAAGCTGGCAGAAAAATGGAGGCTTGAGCTGCTATCATTGTCTTCCTACCTGTTTCATCCTCCCCAACACTGTGCTTCATAAGCTCTTGCTGGCCTGTTTCGCCTGAGTATTTTTTATTTATAAGGTAGCTGTATATTCCCTATAGATCAAATTATTTTAAAACCAAATCCAAAAAAAAAAAAAAAAAGAGAGAAACCATTCACATGCCTGTGATTCTACTGAAGTACTGGCCCAGCACTGAGTAAAATGAATTTCAGACAGATCTCCTGTTCTTACCTTCTGGGTGGTTCTCTTTTCCTGCTTGGCTAGTAACTCACTTTGCCATTTCTTCTGTGGGATAAACTTGGTGCAGGACACTGGACTTCACTGGGATTCAACATTCCTCTTCTCTAACAAGGTGGAGAAAACCAGACACCACCAAGGTGTTTCCGTTGCCACATTCTTATTTGTATGATCTGGAGAAATCTTTTTCATCTGTGATAGTAACTATTTTAGTAAAACTTCTCATTTATTTTAAAAACAAATAGAACTTAAGGAAAAAGGTGAGTGTAAATCTAAAATTAGGAATCAATATGAAACATTCTGAAAGTTGGAAAAATATATATAATATAAAATGTAATTTCTAAATTAATTAGTGCAATTTTAGCAAGTCTAAATCCACTTGTCCTGTAAGGACAATGCCTGCCTGAATTTGCACTGAATGATGAAGGTAGCTTGAGTTCTGATTGTATGAGCTAGAGCATTTAGGTTTTGTGTAACATTAATTTTTTCTCTATCTGATTGTGGCTGTACTTTGTACACTTGAGTTATGTTCCTGTGAGTTCCTGAAATGCCACTGTTACAGTATGAATTGATAAGTAGTGATTTGCATAATGGTCTTTTGCTTGGGAGTTTTTATGGAATGAGATCCTTGCCATAGCCATACTCAGTTCTGATATGTTACGTTTGAAATTGTAAGTCTAGGCACTCAGTTGAGACATCATCGCAAAACTTCACAATCCCCAATCCCCTGCTGTCTGTCTCTGCAAGCATCTGCATTCTTTAGTTGATGGTACTGTTCCATATGTGCATGTCCCATGAACCCTTGATTTAACTACCAAATAATCTGTTTCCTAAGTTGAACAATGACACTGTCTGTTTTCTCATCTGCTCCCTGTTATGGCAGGCAAATTACATGCAAAAATACTTCTGACTTCCAAGGTTGCATCTCTTGGCTATTGTATAATCTTGTGCTGCTAAATATTTGATTTGCAGAGGTACAGTGCTTCTAAGCCTGTGGGAATATCCATGTAAAACTGAGTTTACTGCCAAAATAATAAAAGCAGGAGCACAGCGTATTTCAACAAAACCTTTTTTTTTCTGAGGCCAGACAATTAAGTTTGTAATTAACTCAGTTCCTTTGGTGCAAAGGGAAAAATATTTATTACTGTTTTCAGCATTATTGATAGTTTCTCTGAGTCTGCTTTCATGTCAAGATTTAAATTGTTTCTTGTTATATCTTTCTGTGATTTGCTAAGGGTTTGCCAATGCTGCTGTGAAGAAGCTTAAAAATTGTACATTAAAGAAACCAAGCTTGGCTTGAGAGGTTTTGCAGCCTAGATTTAACTGTGAATTTTGTTAATGTAAGAATAATTTTTAATTTTTTTAATGGACACAAGGCTACCCACACCATCTTAGAAGAGTGATGAACAAAGGTGATTACACAAGAAGAAAACAATTTAATTCCAATTGTGGACTCCTGATTTTATTTCTTACTTTGTTTTTTTTCTCTCAATTTAATTTTTAAGGTAGTCCTCAGACAGTTTATCAAGTTCACCGGAATCCAGGGAATTCTGACAGTAATACTTACCAGAGTATTCAACAGATGAGAAATGCAATGGAAAAAGAGATAAAAAATGAGAGAACGAGAGGAAATGGTCGAGAGTTAGCATTCACCCTCATGCCACTGTATGCTCTTGGAGTGGGAATGTTTGCAGCTTACAAACTTCTTAAGGTAAGCCATAGGAAAAATACTAAATTATTGTAGTTGGGAGGAAATGTAACTGCTTGGCTTGTTTGTTTTCCTAATTTTGAGCCTGTGTATATGGTTGTCCAAAAGCCATTTCTTGCTCTGTTTGACTTTGAATGTGAAGTCCAAAGTTAAAATTTTAGCATATCTAATTCTGTTTGAAGGCTTCTGGCTTATGTATTTTTAGACGCTTGAGGAAGTGAGACTCTTATTTGTCCTGCAGCCTCAAATGAGAATCTGAGAACCTATGCCATGCTACTACCTGAGTCTGTAACCTAAGTCTCGTCAGTGTTTCACTTCCTTTTCATTCTTCAGCATGAGATTGAATACGGGAAGAAGGCAGACAGTTCCTGCAGAGCAGTAGTCTTAGATAGATTAGCAGTTAGATAGAATAATGAGTAGACTTAACCTTTTGTTTGGACTTCTCATTTGATCATGCAGTTGCAACATGCAGGTTTATTTGCATTATGGGATACTTTTTCTACCGTTTGTAAATTCAAAAAGGAGAACACATGATCAGTTGTTTTTCAAAAGGCATCAGTCTTGAAATGTATTATTTATAGTAAGAGATACTACAGGACTTACAAAGCTGAGAGTGCACCTGGAATATTGTTGCTTGCCCTCCGGGAAAATAAAAATGAACTGGAGCAAGACTGAAGACAACATCCTCATTTCTGGAGTCAGTTCATATTAATCTTGTGTATGACAAAAATATCACAGCTTAGAAAAATGAGTATAGAGGCTGTCCAGTTTAGTATAAGATCTAAAAATTATGAAAACCGTATTTTGTGTGTAACAATTCTTGACACTTGGGCTTGTGGGATTAAAATGTAAATATTTTTATGATAATATCTTTATTACTGTAAGAAATAAATCCTATATCGTAATTAAGGATAAGAGACTGGATCCACTAACCTAGAAGGTTTCTTCTGCTTCTTTTTGAAACTGCTTTCTTTTACAGCTTTTGCCAGTTGTATTTGCTTAAAATCAGAAGTGTTATTTTAAGACAGGAGGGAGGTATCACAGAAGAAAAGTTTCATTAATGTAGCACATTTTCATGCTTTCTGTTTACTTTCACCAAAGTTCTAAATGCAGTTTTGTTTTTAGTACACAAATAGTGATGAAGTTGTTTAACTTGATTGTATTCTTTAAAGATGAAGTCACATGAAGAAAGCCACTCCAAAAAGGAAAAAAGTACAGAAGACAAGGCAAAGGAAACAGGTAAGATACTCATTCACGATGCATATATTCAACAGAAATGCTTATTTCCTACTGGAACAAAACATGTTTTCATTGATACAGTCTAGCTAAATGAAGACAATCTTTCAAGTTACTGAGAGTAGTTAGGAATCTACAAAAACCCACTTTGTCATTTTGTATGTTTGAAATGCTTGTTTGAGGTTTGTTTAAATTCTCCAGATGTAATGCTCTTTAAAACAGCTGTAGTAATGCAGTACAATTCACTGCCTTTAAAATGTCTGATGTTTTTCTCATTTAAGATCTGTTCAGTTTTCTTCAGTTTCAATCGAATATAATTAAATAAATGGGGTATTAAAAGATAATATAATGATCTGGTTTAGAACTAAACTGTACTGAAGTGGAGCAGTGTGGTTAAACAATTATAGAGCCTATTTATGATTTCTAGGCCAAATGAGAAACTTGTCACAAACATTCAAAGTTGATGCTGTTTTCATACCTTTTCCTCCCTTGTATAGACACATTTTTAGTGAATTAGACAACTTGCAGCATATTTTGGTGTCTGTGTACACCAGGTCTGCAGTGATTTGCTATGCTCATCATCCTTGTGTGTTGCATTCTTCTTTCTTCAAAGTTTAGTTGTATTTTAGGAGGAGTGACTCCTCTTGATTCTCGTGCATTAAGCATTAAATGTGTTTGTAAGGTGTGAATAGACAAACACATGAAAACATATTAAGTATAAATATAGTACTTATATCTCAGAAAGTCTTGCAGCTGTTTAGTTTTTGAGACTGGGAAGGTGAGCTCCACATTTTTGCTCAGTTTGTACAAAGGTGTCCTCTGTTTGGGCACTATTGGAGATAGGTTACTGGGTAGAAAGGACTTCTGTTCACACATAATAAGGCTTCTGTTCTTATCCCCACCACCCCCTTTTCATATTGTAAAATTTTATAGATGAAAGAAACTTTCTGGTTTTGAATCTGTCCAATGAAAAATATAAATTAACATCCTAATGTTGTACTAAACTATCCCTTTCTGACAAAAATAATTTCTTTAAAAGGTGTCTTCTGTATAGAATGAATTTTAACCTCAAACTAAGAACTTTCTGCAGTATCATTAAAATATTTTTTAAATGTCAAAGTAAGGAAGAAAAACAATCACAAGCCTCCCATTGACTACATGACATTTATTCCCCCTGTATTGCAAAGACATTTTTTACAATATTCTTTCTCTCCTGCCTCCCCTCTCCTTCCCTCTCCCTCTTTTTTTGTTGTATTGTTTTTGTTCGTTTTTGTTAGAGCATCAGCTTTTAGAACTGGAGCAACATCTAGCACAGACAGAGAAAATGTTAAATTCTTTATTGACTCAGTTGGATCCACTTTCAAACTGGTGAGTGTTTCTAAAAAATCTCAGTGTTGTTTCCTGTATATTGAAATTCACCAGAATGTTAACAAAGAGTTCTTAAAAATGATCCTTATATATAGGTTAGGAACAGTTTTAGGAACCTTCTTTGGTTATTTATTGTTTCTGTAGCCTTTTGCAGGCAATACCAATTCTGCTGTTTGTGAACTTTTTCACAGATACCTCCCATCTCTTGTTCACCAAACATAAATGCAGAAGACATATGATCATGTTACTGTGGCTTAACAAGATGAACTTTAATATTGACCAAGGAGACTAATAGTGATGAAAATATACTTAAACTCAGTAGCATTTGAAAGCCCTTGTGGGAATTAGATTTTGGAGCAGAGTGAGTTTCTTCTTTTAGATGTAATTAAAAGAAGAAAATAGTTATCAAGGTATAGCTGCTTATTTTTGTGTTTTGAAATGAATCTGTGAAGTGTGTATATTTCAGTGAAATCAAACTTGTCTATTTTAGTATGACGAGGGAATCAGTAATATAAAAACTCCTTGTAGTTTTAGAGAAGTTCCATCCTTAAGAAGCTAGACTTAACTAGTTAAGTTAGCTAGACTAGCTAACTTATCTACTAGAAATAAAAGTATCCATGTGGTTAATTTTCTAGACATCCTTCATGAAACACAGGTTAAAACATGCAGAATTTCCTGATTGTTTCTTTAGTGTACTTCTGAACTTGATATGTGCTGAAACTATTAACCAGCAAATTCACTGGCCAGTTTGCCTAACAAATTTCTAGTAGTGATGGGGAGGAAAGTTAAAAAACATTGAATGAGAAAAGCCTTCAAAGCCTGAAGTTCTGTATTAGGCATTGTTGTACTGCTAATAAGAGTACTTTGGATAATTGTTGCTTTCAGTGGTCATTACCTTGGCTGTTGGGGCTCCAGTGTTACAGTTCAGTGGCATTCAGTAGTTGTATGGTGTCATGACCTCTCCACTTCTCAAGAGACAGTTCTCAAAGGAAAGCTTGACCTAAACATTTCACAAACATAACTATGGTATTTATGCACAGAAAGAAATATTGAAATAATTATCAAGCACTCCCTTCTAAGGTAATCTTTCAGCTGTTAACATTTGTCTTTTTTTTCTAGTGTCAATGCTTTAGCTTGCGAGCAGAAAGATGAAATAATGACACAGCTCCAATCAATTAGACGACTGATGAAAGAAAGTGGATTGGATAAATCAGAAAACAAGATGAAAGGTAATTTAATTTTCAGACAGATAGATAATTAAGGAGCTTATACTTTAAAAGAATAAATATATCTTACTATAATAATGTTCAGCTTCTACACCTTAGATAATTTGTGTGGAATTAGTTTGATTCTGGAGGAATACCATTCTTCCTATTTGAGATGTGTTCGATTCTAAATTTTTGATACATCATGATTTATTTAAGACTATGTGCTCAAGACATTGAACTGGGGTGGACCACACATTCTGTTTTGATGTTTTGATGAAACAGGCTTTTGGAACATCAGTTCCTAAGCAGTCTGTTAGTACTGGAACTAACTTTAGGTAAAGGCTTTCCAGATGGGGACCTCTGAAGCTGTAATGCTTGCATAAAACACTAACCAGCAAATTGTATGTTAGTTTCAGCTGGAGATTTCCAAGAGCTGCATAGTAGCCCAAGAGAAATCTTAAATGTTAAGAATGGTCCATTAGAGATTTAGGGAAATTTTGCATTATTTGGGCTTTAATAAAAGAGGAAAAAAAAACAAATTAAAAAATTAAATTAAATTAATTAAAAATTGAAATAAAAACTCTACTTCTAAACTGACTCTGAAATTCAGAGCCTTACCAGTAAATTTTAATTTTGATTATTTTTTTGGAATTTTAAGATCTTGGACACATTTGTAATGAGAAACTTGAAGATCTCATTCAGTCATTTGCTGAACATTCTCAAGAAAAAGAAATGAACAACAGAGAAGATGACTGTAATGAAGATTTGCTTGAGGATATTGATAATGATTACAAAATAGAAGAGCATGAATTACACAGTGAATGTGAAATACATCAGATGGAGGCAGATGTTGTAGAAGATGAAGAAATGATAAACAGAGATGCCATTGAGTCTCAAGAAGAGATGGGACTGAGGAGACGCAATAGATATGAATGGAATCTGCATATGTAAAACTTCCAAAAGCTTATGAATTCTTTTTCTAATGTTGTATGCACTTTAAACTGAAATGAAGTTATGTGCACTGCTATATGCTTTAAAAAGAGGGGTGAAATGCTGCCTTTGCTTGTATCTATGACAATTCTGTAACAGACTTCAGTGGCAGCAGAATTTTACTCAGGATGTTTACATATTTTTTCTATTTATTTTTCCCTATAAAAATATTTCTGTACTCTGTATATAATGCACTGTAATTATATCTGATGCTTCACTAAAGTATTATAATAACTTCTAATTGAGACTATAAAGAATAGATGTTTCATAAATGTTTTGTAATTAGAAAGCATTATGCCACTTGAACTGTGACTTCCTTGAGTTCATTAAAGAGCATGCACTGATGAATTCAGCTCTTTGTGGAAAACTTTTCTCTGGGAGTGTGAAAACCAGTATGGGCTAAGTCTTACTCATTCATGGTTAAGTTTCTTTATTTGGAGAGAGAAATTTAGACATGGACACTATATGAAAATAATGGTGTCTGAATTTGCAGTCTCCTGGATAATGATGTTTAGTTTTGTATGTCAGCTTAATCCGTAATGTATTACACTGGATCACTTAATTTCTTCCTCACTTGTCACTGGTTAAACTCAGCAGCTGTCTAATAACGGATGAATACTCATTAGTACTGTATCTTTGTTTCACATTTGTTTTAGTACCATAGAGTCTGACCTTTTGATTCATTTTAATGCCTATTTTTTTACATCAGAATTGACAGATGTGTTGCTATGTACCTTTCAAGAACTGTAGGGCATGGGATCTTTTTATGCCAACCTGATATCCTTTTTAGGTCAGTATTAGGAAAAGCATTTGTTTTCATTTGCCAGAATGATTTTTGTCCACACTTTCATTAGTTACTCATTTTTTTGTTCACTTAATGCACCCACCTATGGCACTGACAGGAATTGCCTTAGAGGTAGGTCTGACAGTACAGCACTGTTACATTTTCTGTTTTATAATTGCATAGCTTTTATGTAGGCCAGTTATGATGCCTGAACTCTTCTGGCATCCTTATTCTTACAGGAAAAGAGCACGTGAATTTGTTTTTATGGAGGAAATGTACTGTACTTAAAGGGACTAAATTTATTATCATGTCACTCAGTGAAATGGAATGAATTGTTCATTCTGGTGTAAAAACATGGTATGTGTTTGGTTCTAAAACTGGATCACACAGGCTTGGAAGTAGCAGCATCCAGAAATACATCCTTAACATCAGTGTGTTAGTAGTTTTGCACTAAGTGAGATTTTGCCTAACTTTGGAAAACTTCATTAACTACAGAGCCAGGTTTTCTCACGAGGTGGCAGATTCTTTTACCCGAGGCAGAACAGGTGAATCAGAACTGGTACTTGGATACAATTTGATTTTAAAAAATAACTAATGTTGCTCTTGTCATTCAGGACCACTGAAACTGTTTGGAATAAAAACCACTTTCATTGAGCCTTTTCTTTGGAATTTCTAATAAATGAAAGTGTGTCAAAGTCATTGATCTGAGGGAACGATGGAGTGGGAGCCAGGTGTGCTGTGTGCAGGTCGGTCCTGCTCCTCCCAGGTACCGGTGCCGCTGTCTTTTGCCACGGCGTTTCCCCGCCTGGGGCAGCGTTTGAATCATCGCGGCTGTGCCTTTCACCTCCGCGAGGCTGGATGCTGCTGACACTTGAAGCCCTTGTCCGAAAGGCTCTGAGCTACCTCGGGGTGATGGCTGTACTTCTGACTCAGGCTACAAACACGCACCGTGCGCTCTCTCGCCGCAGTTCCGAGGTCTCGGATTCCGGCTGCCGGGGTTTGCCGGGGGCAGAGCCCGTGTGATGTGTAAGCGCCTGTCCCAGCGGGGCTGCGGGGGCCGCAGGGCGGGCAGACCCGCCCGTGGGCGCGGGGAGGGGAGCACGGCCGGGCCCCGGGCAGGGTATTTCCGCAGGAGCACTGGGGAATTACGCTTCCCCGCTCCGCCGAGGCGCTCCTTGCGCAGCCCTGGTGCGAGGCCTGGCTCGGATTGGCCCCTCCGCGCCGCTGTACCCGGCTGTGGGGACGGGCCCGCTCCGGCAGCCGTGCGCCCTGGCACCGCCCCGGTGAGACACGGCCCCTGCCCGCCGGGGATCCGCGCCTCTCCTGGGAAAGTGCATCATTTCCGTGGAGCTGCTGAGCTCATAGTGTTTCTTCCGCCTTTTACAGCATTGCTGTTTGATAAAAGTAATCTCAGCGTGTGAACCATCGAGTACAACAGCGCTGTCTCTCCTGTGCGGCCTCGGGTGCGAGGATCTCCGTTCTCCGTGCCCCGGGGAAGGGGCTGGGCGGCTGCAGGCCCTACAGCCCTGCGGGAGGAAAGGGCGCTTGGCAGCGGGAACTGCTCACTGCCGCCAGCCTTTCGTTTGGAAATGCCTGATTGATGGGAACTACATGGTGGGCTTTTGGTTCAAAAGTGGCTGCCTGGAAGGGGGAGCCAGCAGAACAGGAATGGTTGGTGGAATGTCACCCTGGAGCTCTCGGAGCTTGGCAGTGTGCCGGGGCTCCTGAAATGTTCCCAGGGCATTGAGCGATGGAGAGCCAGGCAGCAGTTGTAAGTGGAGTGCGAAAGGTTTGATGTTGCCAAGGCGTAACAAATTAGTTATGGAATCAGAAGGTATCAATAAGTATAAGGGAAAGAGGGAGTTAAGCTTGAGACAATAACATAAATTTGAACAGGAATCTAGTTAAGCATTAGTAATAAAAGACTGAAATTAAGAGGTGGTGTAGAAGAGAAACCAACAGCATTTCATTGCTTGCTAAAGACAATACCAAAATTATTTCTAATGCAGTAACTTTTTTTTTTTTTTTTCCCCCAGATGTACTTAGATAAAAATACATATTTTCTCAATAGTATTTTCTGGTTTTCAGTTTTTTTTTTTTCTGAAAGCTGACATTGAATTTGCATGGATTTGGAAGTTAAAGGAGTTGCTGCATCCCCTCGAAGGAAGGCTGAGTTGTCATTGAGGGTGAAGAAATATCAGGTAGTCAATGGGAGGCTTGTGCTTGTTTTTCTTCCTTTGACACTTAAAGAAATATTTTAATCATACTTCAGAAGGTTCTTCGTTTGAGGTTAAAATCCATTCTATAGAGAAGACACCTTTTAAAGAAATTCTTTTTGTCAGAAAGGGATAGTTTAGTGTGACAGCTTCTGAAATGAAGGTGAGAAATTCCAATATAAACAGCTATCCTAGAATAACTGCTACTCTGAGTACTTAATTGGAATGTGGGCAATTTAAGAATGAACTAGTACTTGCAGTTAGGAGCAGCAGAGGCTGGAACGTGTGTGCTGTCTCTTGCTGTTGGTGAACCTGGCAACAGGTGTGGCTGTGTTTTTGTTTTGCAAGACAGCAGTAAAGCAGCCCCCAAAATATAATTTGAAAAGGCATGATTTCAGATCGACATGAAAAAATGAATCTCAGTGCTCTGTGTTCAGTATGAAGGGAAATTACTTTTTCCAGGTATTCCTAATAGTCTACGCTTTGGGATAGGGTAGGTGTGCAATCCTCACAGGCTCACTGTAGTAGAAACTTTAGGGCTAGCTTTTGATAGTCCCTACAAATTTGTAGTCCCTACAAATATGAACTTGGATTCTGAGGGCCATTTTTTCCTTACTGCTAAGCTAAATATTGATATTGTTAGTAACAGTTGATTTTTCTCACAGATAATGCGTATTTTATGTCCATGAACTAAAGTTAATTGCTAATCCTCCCTCAGCCCCCAAGCACTCATTTTACTTCCTTATTTGTTGCATGACCCCGTTAGGAATTCTTGGAGTTTGACTGCCAAATTGCTGGTCTTCTTTTCAGTTTGATTTGGAATGAAAAAAGACCTTTTGTAAATGATAACACATTAATGTTATAATGTTACTGTTAATGTTTTAACCAGGTTTTTTAAAATTAAATACCTGTGGACAACAGGAACATTTGGGGCATTTAGTGTAGGCTGTAAAAGAAATGTCATTTTTTCTCTAATCTCTCATCCCCCCCTTTTTTTTTTTTCTTTCTCATGCAACTAAGTTTCAAAATTTAGACTCTCTAGTCCACATGATTTTTGGTAATTTTCAAAATCAAATCCTTAACTAAAATTATGCTGAAATCATGTGCTTCACCCCAGTGTTCACAATGGTTTTTGTTTGCTTTCTTCCTGATTTGTTGACTTCTAGAAAAGGAATTATATTAAGGCTTTAACATTTAGAATCAGCTGTGTTCTTTACCTCACCATAATTGAATGGTACAGGAAAAAGAAAAATATGAGATATAATGCTTTGTTTTTTGGTGTCTTGACGGTGTCTTGTCTACGTAGGTGACCGCACGGTGGCGGTGCTCATTATGTACAGAGAGCTCCCAAAGCTGGAAACCCGGACTCGTTCTGGAGTCACTAGAGGGTAGTGTTGCCGAAATTCTGTTTCGGGAGCAGCTACAAGGCTGTATGGCAAGAAAGGAGTTACAGTATTGTGCTTGCTCTCAGATCGTGAAGGATGTTTGGGCACTGGAAATAGGATTCTGCTCAGCTTAGGCTGTGATGCTGAGATTTATGAGCTGAAAAGTGTGAAAACAAAAATGCTAGTCCTGGTTCTGAATGTTCTTGAAATTTTTATTTTTTATTCAGATTTGGAGACCAGTTAGGTGAATTGTTAATTTTTGCTTGCCCCAACCAGCCTTCCCTGTGTATTTGCTGCTAGCTGTTTTCAAAAGCAGTAGGGGGATACGAGACAGTCTTTTTTCTTGCTATGTTGTTGCTCAGTGGAGTTTGAAGATCTGTGTGCTATGCAGACTTGCAAAATAAATAAAGTGAACTGCCTAATCGTCATCACTATTACTATAGTAAAGCTGAGATGAAACAGTTACACCAAATATCAGGAGCTCTTTGGGGTCTGAGCTAGCTCCTGGCTGTCAGTCTTGTGGTTTTGGTTTAAGGGTTAGTTTCCAACCGACAAGGACAATGTGACCTAAAGCCTTGTGAGCAGTGACGGAACAAAGCCTCAGGAACATAGATTATTTTTAATGTATTATTAATAGCTGATGTGGATGCTATCTAGATTCTTAATGGCTTGAAATCTTTCTGTCATGATGAATATTCAGTCTTTTAGTCTCATGATGTGTAAGAATTAGCTTTCAATGAGAAGTTTTGGTTTTTTTCCCCCTTGTTATTAGTGTCTTAGTCAAGTATGTTGGACAGATACTTTGAGGCTCTAATTTTAAATACTTCAAAGGAAATTGAAAGGGACAACTGTGTATTTTAATCTGGATCCCCTAGGTATGTAATAATATGTCATTCTTTTAGGGCTGGAGACCAAATAGACAGGCTACACACAGTCCTCACCCACCAGAGTAAGTCTGCTTCTATTTTTTTTTTATTCTGATCAGCTTATTTAATTATGTGTATTGTTAACACAATGCATTTGCATTTGTAGTGACGCACAACTTAGTGCATGAAATTTATCATCATAGGGTTTTTTTCTGTTATTTATATTTGGAGTAGAATATTTGATGCATTATTTAATTTGGAATTAAGTTGGTTTAAATTTGGCTGAGTGGAGGTGTAATTACAGAATGGGTAAAGATGGAACAGAGCACACTGGGTCTAACCCACTGGTCCATCTGGTCCAACCTCCCTGCTCAAGCAGGGTCATCCCAGAGCACATTGCTCAGGATTGCATCCAGATGGTTCTTTAGTATTTCCAGTGAGGGAGGCTCTACAACCTCTCTGGGCAACCTGTTCCAGTGCTCAGTCACCTGCGGTGAAGAAGTTTTTTTTGGGTGGAACTTCCTGTGCATCAGTTTCTGCTCATTGCCTCTTGTCCTATTGCTGGGCACCACCAAGAAGAACTTGGCTCCATCCTCTTCAGAGGGTGTCACTCAGAGCTTACATATTTAGACATTGTTTTTCTTGAATATTTTTAATGTTTCTGCAAAAGGAGAAAAATGGTATTTTAACTATTGACCACTTTTACAAGTATTATAGTAAATAATACAGAGAAACTGTTGTGAAGGGCTTTTACAAGCAATGGGAAATTTTGTTTGTGCTTTTAAAACCCTATAGTGACTTTGGCACATAAGGAATACCTACTCTTTCAAGGACCATGATTGATAGTTTAGCCATTTTTGTTTACTGAAATGCCTTAAAGCCAATGTGCATAATTATTTTATAAGTGTATGTGACTATAACCTTTGATTCTTCCAACCAAAGTAAAAAAATTCCAGTTTCTCTGTCCTGTCTGTCACTGTATAATAAAAAAAGACTGTAAAATAAGGAACTCTCTTATTACAAGAAATTATATTAGAGTTGCTTGGAAATACTTATTGGTGGTAAAATATAAAACACACGTATTCATAGTGTTCTGCAATATACCTGGAGTAAAGGCAGAAGGAACAGAGATGCTTTGATGGATTGGAGATGTTTTCATTTCTTTAAGCAGAACAAAATACTGAGGTATGGTTGTCTTCTACTGTGTCAGTCTCTCATGGAAAGTTCAGAAGATTTGCATTTCATGTAGCAATTGCTTCCCTGTTGCCTCTCTGTTGACTGATTATAGGGGAATGTTGACACGGATGTGCTGTGGAAGATAAGAGTAAGGTGTCCCTGATTTATGATCTTGTTGCAGTAGCTCCTTTTGGAGAGTGAAGAGAGGCCAATGTGGGAGTAAAGAAGGGTCCTTTTTGGGTGCTCTGCTGCTGGGGAAGAGAAGCTCAGTGCTGAGCTGAAGCAAGAGATTTGCTGAGTAGGCCATATCCAGTTGCAGGGAAATTTTTGTGAAGGAGCTAGTAATAACTAATAGGCGGTGCTTTTATTCCAGTTAGAAAAATAAGAGATTGTATTGCTGTTAAAATTGTTTTAACTCCCTTCAGGGTGCCATGCCTAGATCTAACGAGGCTTGGAGATTCTGATGAAGAGGTAATTGTAAATTATTTTTTTCTCAAAGAGTTTTTAAAATTCACATTTTTCAGTTATTTATAAAAGTACCACTCTGATTATAAAACAGTTATGATTGCTTTACTTTTTTTTGCCTGTGATTTTAGGATGGGGACTCTTACATACCGTACACTGGAAGTTCTTCTCATAGGTGCCAAATAGATTCATCTTCGGAGTGGAGAACGTCACTACAAACTCCATATGTACAGCATCAACATGTCAGTCTGTCACTACAAATATCTTTATGATATGCCCCTTTAGCAGTAATTTAGAAAAGTATGCATATATTTTTTTGAGTAAGTTCTTTTTTTTTTTTCTTTTGGTTAAGCTCATATCTCCAAGTGCTGTTGGTCCAAAATATTTTTAGCAAAGTCCTTTTACTGGGATTCTTTAGAAAAAACAATTTTATTATACAGAATTGTAATTACATAGCATTGATGCACTTACCCTTTTGTTGTACTTATTTTTTAAGAGCTATATTAATAGTAGTAATAACAAAGATTAGTAGTAGTAAATGTATGATTGAAGACAAAATCCATGTTTACAAGCACTAAGTATTATTTCTACGGAACAGTAGTTACTTCTGGTGAAAACTTTTGTAATTACTTGCAGCCATTTAATGTTTTTTTTCTTAGGGCTGTTGTCTTTAAAACAGAACTATGACATAAACTTTGGAATTATGTCAAATTTGTTAGCGCTCTTTTTATTGTTAAAATTTCCTCATCATGTTGGCTTTTTTTTCCCCCTGGATAACTAAGAAACTTAATCACCCCTAGTCTTAGGTACTTTTCAAGGTAAACAGTAGCCCAGATGCAAATATTCTGGTTTACAGTACAGGGCAACATTGTTCAGGATCAATATCCAGTATAAACATTTTAAGAGTTAATTTAATTACTCAGTACACTTCCCTGAATACAGGAAAGTTGAATGCAGAGTTCTTTTGAACTCCTATATCTGAATTAAATATGAACAAAATAAATGTGACAATTTTTTATTTGATCATGATATATATTATTTCCTGTTTTCCTTTAAACAGGTGTCTAGAAATTGTGTCAGAACAAAATGGAGGTAAAGAAGTTGAAAAAATACAGACTAACAAAAAGTCTTATCAGTTCAGTACTATCCTATATGGTCTGAAAATGTAATATGTTTTAATTTCTTTTATGTGACAGGAACTAGCTTATCGGAGAAACTACTAAAAAATACATTGATTAAAAGTTCATTATTTCAAAAATATTTAACTTACGTAAAACTAAGAAATATCCAAGTGAGTTTTTTTTAAAGAAACTCAGGATTTCAACTAGAAGGAAAACCAATTTTAAATTAATTTGTGCTTAGCCTTTGCTCCTTGAAACAAATAATATAGTAACTTGAAGGGCATAACTCCAGATTGGCTGGAGTTCAAGGTGAATCTGCCAAGATCACTAACTATTTTGTATGTTTCCCTATATAAACAAATGGTTTCTCTACTTGTAAAACAATTTCATTCAAGTAAAAACTGAAATAGTAAGTGTTTTTTTGGTCTTTTTAAAATACTGTACTAAGAATGTACTAGTTTTTAGAATACGTGGCCAACATGTATAAATACATGTCTCAGGATGTAACTGTAAAACTGTTGTTTTACAACAGATGTAACTACAGGTAGGTTATTTTCCTTTCTACTGCCTTGTAAACATGCTTCAGTTGTTACAGCCTTTTTGGCTCTGTATATTTGTGATTACACTTCTTGCTTTACCCTTTTTTTTTAACGAAGCTCATATGTATAACTCTGTCAAACTGCAGGAGTGCTAATGGAAGGTAGGTGTGGCTTTGTTTCTCAGGGTCTTTATCCCTTTCTTTTCTGCTTTTCTTTATCTCTTGTTAATTCCTCTCTGCCTTCATTGTGTTTTGAATACTGAGTGCTCAGTGTATTGGAATGTATCTTCTATTTACTTATCCTTTCTCTCTGTGTCCCTCTGTCTCTCTTTCTCTCTCTTTTTCTCCCTTTTTTGCCTGACTTGCTCCCCATCTTTTTTTTTGCGGAGAAGATTTTCAAGCTGTTTAAAAATATTTTAATGTATTCCTCTGAGTGGCCTTTATTTCTGCACTTCTTACTTCTGGGGCTCTGACCAAGCTTTCCTTGAGCCAGATAGATTCCGGCTTCTTCAGTAACTGTGTAAGTAAATCTTCCTAAAATAGGTCACTTTTGGAAGAAAAATTTAAATATACTCTTATAATTCAGGAATTAACCAGGGAAGGGATGTGAATCCTCTTTTGATGGAGAAGGTTGGCTCTTCAAAAACATAAATCTTTTTGAGTTTTGAGAAATGGTTTTCTACAGCAGGACTATAATACTGTTGTTGCAAAATGAGTTACAGCGGTTGGGTAGAGATGCTAGAGAAGGCCACCTTACTTTTGTTAGCACTGAAAGAATATGACTTAAATATTGAAGATGTTAGTTACTCAGGAGGACAGAAGAAAATTGGAATCTTGGACTTCTGTCATTGCTGCCCTTTCTACTGATCCCAGCCTCTGTTGTGGAGAGCCTTGAAATGAATGTAAGGTTAGAAAGGTACTTATCTGTGGAGCTGATGTTGTTCTAAGGAACACTGTCCCAGTTCTCATCTGCCATACAAGAGTATTAGTACTTCTGACCAAAAAACATCCATCCATTTGTTGTCAACCATCCAAAAATCAAACGTCAGAATTTCTGTTTTAGTGATGTTATAAGGCAGTACCACTGAATCTGACTTCTTTATTTAAAAGTGATGTAAAACCATTTGAGTGTGTATTTTTTAGATTTTAAACCAGTAGAATTTGAAGAACTCAATGAAAATTAAGCCTGAATATGCCATCCTGTTTGCATTTTTTCTTAATTTGAAGCATCATATCAAGAAGTTTTGGACATTATACTGGATAGGAACTAAAAAAATGCTGTTATCATTTAATAGACCAGCCAGAGGCTGTTATATTGATTACTCATTGTTTTAACATTCTGTTTTGGAGCAGAAGACAAGACCAGAAAACCTGATATCTGCCACAGACAGATCCAAACCAAAGCATGGCCAGTATGAATCAGGTATGAAGGAAGAATATAAGCAACATCCTCATAGAACTGCAGAAAAGAAAAAAGACCACCTCCAGTGTCCAGACACTTCAATAAAGGTAGCTGGCAAAGTAGAAATTGCATTTTTAAATAGAAAATGTATATCATTATTTAAATACACTATTTGGAAAGGTTTTCACATGTATGTAATTAATTTAATGTTTTTATTGTAAGGAAATAAAAAACATGTAATTTAAGCATCTGATGTTGAGGAGGAAATAAACTGTTGGAAGGTTGTTTCAGTCGTTGCAGAGCAAGAAACTGAAGTGCTCTGAGAATTTATGTATGGTTGTGTTCTCTGGTAAGGAAAGTAGCACTGGCCTTCATAGTGCATCTCTAGCCTGAGCCTGAAGATTATCATGATTGATAGGGAAGAACTTAAAGCCTATAAGAAGAGGAGAGACAGCAGGAAGATCTTAGTAAAGTGTTATTTCCAAAACCAGAAATTCATTCAAGCTTCTTTATTTTACAAATCTAGAAGTATTTTAATTACTGTTCTGTAAATTGGGACTGTATGTAGGACTTAAAATTTTAAGGAGAAATTAAAGACTTAATCTGTTCCTCAGAGAACTATTAACATTGAAAATGCAAAGGAATATGGGGTTAAAATATGGAAAGATACCTGTACTTTTTGCTTTGATATTGATGTTGTGTAAGATTCAGTGCAGTTGGACTGCAAGCTGTACTAGTTCTGCCAGGTTTATTTCATGTTTTTAAATTAAGGTGCAAAGAAGGGAAGATCAGTTGAGAGAGACCGGGAAACAAAGGGTTGAAAAAAAACAGCTTTAATCTTGTTTGGAAGAGATGGCAGAGGAGTGGTTGAACAGGGAAAGATGCATCATTGTAGGTGTAAGGAAGCAGGAAACCTAAGTAAGCAACAGCTGTGAGGACTTGCTTGAGTGCTAGATTCTGCTGAGGGTAGATGGCCATTTAAGAATCTTAATGGAAAATTAAGTATGCAAATGTTGATGGAACATATTGTGCTCATTGCTTTTCAGAGAAAAGGTTTGTGATGAATAACAAGGAGTTTACTGAAATTACTTTGTTAACCTTCGATAGAATAAAAAGGGAAGGTTTTTCAAAAGAAAGATTGTTTCACATATTGTAGATAGCTTTAAAAGAGCTTTCTCTTCATAGTTGTGCTTCTAGTGATCAGATAAAAGAGAACGTGAAAAAACCTATTAAATATTCTGTGAATAAGTGGTGAATGAAAAAGAAATTGAGGTATTTTGTGGTTTAGTTTTATGTTTGGTGGCAGGTAAGATTTTCTGTTCTGCAGATTTGTTATAGTTTGGTGTTTTTTGTTTTTTTTTCCTAATGATTCCGCTCTAAGTTGGCACTCATAATCTGTTTTTCAAGAAGTGACTCCTTTATGCAAACCCATTGAAAGGGTATTTACAGGAGCAGCCAAGTTAATCTGAAAATGAAGAAATAGATGGCAAATGTGTGCTGGGAGAAAAAAAATGGGACTGGCTTTTTTTTCTGGTGATTTTGGATTCCAGAAAGATAGTTGCTAAGCACTAGAAGCATGTGTGTTAATTCTTCTCACAGATTTTAATATAATGTCTATCAGAACAAATTTTTTGTGTTAGATATTAACACTACCTGGTTAGATGAATAAATCAAAATATTTCAACACGCTTGTTGTGATTGATTAGTGGAACTTGCAACAACTTACCTTTTCTGAAAAGAAGGTGCTCCTGGAGGAGATTGCTAACAAAACCCACTCTTTTGATTTCTTTCCTATGCTACCTCTGTAGCATAGGAAAGTTCTGTAAAAACTTCCTGTATCCCTTTTTTTCATATTGTCCATGTATGAAATATTTCTGTAATACCCTGGGACTGGTTTACAAGTCTGTTAGAATCAGTTGCATGCTTTGGCTTTTCCCTGTCTAGGCTGTATTTAACTTCTTCACTGGTCACAAAGCTCTACAGTGAGCTTTGAGCTTTATGCCTAACAGCAAATCCTCTGCTTCCACTTGGTTGTTCCTGAGCAGAACAGAAAAATGAGGAGTTCTTGTCTTCTCCTCAGAGATACTAAAGTCTGCTTCCTCTGACTTGCTGTGTTTTTTCACAAAGCTTGTAGGAACAAAGTATTTTTGAGATATTTAAATTTATTATTTATTTCAGTATGAATGAAAACTGGTAATTATACAAAAGATACAAATCTTGCTCTCTAGTCTTTCCTTATAAAATTCAGTTTCTGTAAAGAGCTAGGCTTAAAAAAATTCTCTTTTAATTAGCATGGAGTAGAAGAAGTAGACATTTTAAAAAGTAAAGAAGAAAGTAGTACTTTTAAATAAATTGTTGAGGAAAACATGTGTGGGTTTTTTAGTTTGTTTTTACTACATTTCATTATAAAAAGAATGTATTTTTGTGTAGGGTACACAGCTTGATGATGGACAAGATGATTTTGTAACTATTGATAAGAAAGCTCTCCTGCAACAATGCTATACAAACAAGCCTTACAAAATGCAGCACAATGTAAGGAAATCAGAAGCTGTAAGTATTTTGACTGATGTTATCCTGCTAACCACCTAGATGTGGAGAATGGCTTCTCAGATGTTCAAGAGAAGTCATGCCTTTGGGGATTTGGGTCTAGTATGTAATTGGACTCATTAAAATCATGTGAGTTTAAACTTTCTTTCAATGGTAGTTGAACTGAGCAATCCAGTGAGCATTTTTAAAATCTTATCTGCAGTGCTTGTATTTTATGTGGTAATCTATATAAATGAGAACACAAATTATGAGTAATATATACAGATACATTCATACAAATAAAAATAACTAAGGTGGTTGAGTGAACCTAAACATAATGTTATATTCAGTGTCAGAAGTTGGACTTCAGTGATCCCTGTGGGTCTCTTCCAGCTCAGTATATTCTATTATTTCCTCTGATCCGTAGCTTTTAGCTGAGCCTGTATTCAATGATTCATGGATTCCATAATTCCATCAGCTAGTATTACACTGAGTCAGCAACAACTGAAGCTGTGTCTTCGAGCTCTAGGGATGGAGCTTCTACAGCGTCTCTAAGCAATATCTTCATGTGTCATGCTGTTCTCTGTGTGAAGAAATTCCTTCTATTGTCCACACCAATCTTCCCAAGGCTCAGTGTGCAACCTTTACATCCTGTTATACTGTTGGCTTCTGTTAAAAAAAGTTTGGTTCTCTTAATTTTGTAACTTCTCTTCAGAATGCCTCATAGCTGCTGGTTCTGCAAACTAAACAAACCCAAGCTCCCTTAGCCTCTCCTTTCAATTGTTTTTGCTCTGATCTTTTGTCAGATCCTTTCTGAAGGAAGGAGGGAGCCCTGAAGTCTAGAAACTAGGATGGACTCACTAGCATGCAGAGAGGAGAATTAAAACTTTCCTTACGTGGATGTACCCAATACACTTCTTTAATTTCTTACATAGACATGAATTTTACTCTTATTGGGACTGAACAATAAGTCTTGCCCATTTGAAGCCAGGCCTTGAATCCAGCCAGGATCATTTACAGTGATGAAGAACCTTAATTTGATATTGCATGATTCAGTATTTGCATATGCAGAGTGATGGCTTTTATAACTGTTTTTGAAGGTATTGCAGAAAAGGGTTATGCATTCTAACTTTCTCATAGAATATTAAGTCATGAGAAATTTTATGACTTTTTAAAAATAAATAGTAATTTTAATTCATTTTATTTGCTTGCCACTGTGCACTGAATTTTGCACCATTGCAAGCCTTTATTTGATTTCTAGTCTTATTGAACTGAATGCAGATGTTGCTCTACTGAAGTCATTGGTAATTTTCATCATAAGAAAGTCTTTTGAGAAAGTACTTAAGCTTTTATTTTTAGAATAAATTTAAAAATCCATACTATCATCTAAAGTTAATGGAAAAAAGTCTTGAATTATCCCAAGAAAAACTACTTAATGCTAAAGCACGTACTGTGAAAGCCCTGAGAAAGGGAGCAGTGCAGAACCACAAAACAGAAGACATTCTGTAGCTGCCATGCTTTAAAAGAAAGCCAGCAGGTGTCTGAGCAAGGTGTTACTGTGACCTTTAGAAGCCCTTTTGTTATTATGAGTTAGCACTCATGGTTAGCACCAGCTGACTCTCTCTTTTGAGGACCATCTCAGGCTCTCCTAGGTCCAGCTTCTGATAGTGTTAGAATACTGGAAAAAACTGCCAGTAGTAACTGCCTGTGTAGTAATTCCATTTTGTATATGTTGCCTCAATTGTTGGCATTTCATTTTAAGGTACTAGAAAATTTTGCTTAAGGATACTCAATGTTAATATGTCCTTTTACTGCAATCATTACCAAAAAGTCAAATGTTAAAGTAGAACTTCTCTTGATTTTTCTGTGATTTGGGATGAAAGTTCACCAGTGGGGTTTTGCCGGGCTCCATTTTAGGCCCTGTACTCTTCAATACCTTCATAAGTAATTGGACACAGGACTGGGATACTGAGCAAATTCACAGATAATACAAAACTGGGAGTAACTGCTGACTCCCTGGAAGGTAGGAGGGCCCTGCACAGAGACCTTGGCATACCAGAGGGCTGGGCAATCACCAAACACATGAAGTTCAGCACTGAAAAATGCTGGATTCTGCTCCTGGGACAGGACAGCCCTGGATGGACAGACAGACTGGGGAATGAGAGGCCAGAGAGCAGTGCCAGGGAAAAGGACCTGGGGGTCCTGGAACCTGAAAGTTGAGCCTGAGCCAACAGTGCCCTGGCAGCCAGGAGGGCCAACCCTGTCCTGGGGGACATCAGGCACAGCGTGGCCAGCCAGGCAAGGGAGGGGAATTGTCCTGCTCTGCTCTGAGCTGGGGCAGCCTCTCCTCGAGTGCTGGGGGCAGCTTTGGGTGCCACAATATAAGAAAGATATTAAAATACTGGAGAGTGTCCAAAGGAGGGCAACTAAAATGGTGAAGGGTCCTGAGGGGAAGCTGTATGAGGAGCAAATGATGTCTTGGTCTGTTCAGCTTGACAGAGACTGAGGAGTGACCTCAGTCACGTCTTCAACGTCCTCATGAGGGGAAGAGTAGCGACAGGTACTAATCTCTTCACTCTTGTGACCAGTGACAGGACCTGAGGGAATGGCATGAAGTTGTGTCAGGGGAGGTTTAGGCTGGATATCAAGAAAATCTTCACCCAGAGTGTGGCTGGGCACTGGAACAGGCTCCCCAGGGAAGTGGTCACAGCACCAAACCTGACAGTTCAAGAAGTGTTTGGACAATGCTCTTGGGCATATGGTGTGACTCAGGAATGGTTCTGTGCAGGCCTAGGAGGTGGACTCAATGTTCTTTGTAGGCCCCTTCCAGTTCAGTTTGTTCTTTGATTCTATGATTCACAAAAGAGTCCATTGCCAATAAATGTCATATATAACCTCTGAAGAACGTTGGTTTTCTCTGAATGCTCATATTTAGAGAACAGCAGTTACTACTTTTTTATCACTGAGAGCTGCTGCAAGTTCAGTGTTTGCCTCGGCCCTCCACATTTTTGTAATTTCATAGTAGAGCTTTTGTCTAAGAGCAGAATGGAAGATGTTTCATGAAAGATTACATGCAGTAACCTAATACTCAGTTGAAGTTTAAGGTGTAAGGTTTTTTTTCTGTTTTTTGGTTTTTTTTTTAAATCAGATTCTTTTCAGCATGCTAACTGGTTTGGATCTATAAGCCAGGGTCCATGGAATATATTATAACAAATACTGCTCTATACTGTCACTGTGTCCTCTTTTACATCATTCTTTTTCATAAATCTGTTGCAACAGTTAATGGGTAAAGAATGAATAATTCAGAATAAAGCACCCTGTATTTCTTATAGGTGTAAAAATGAAACATGAAAGCAAACTGAAAAATCCTCTATCTCTTATAATTCCAAAATCTTCTAAGGCTTAAAATCAGTTTGGAATAACCAACCGCTGGTTTGGTGTTGCATTAGTTATTTGGGTTTTTTTTATTTGTTTTTCTTTTTATTCACTAGTGCCAGTCAGTATTTATTTGAAGATTGTGAATTCTACCCATAACATCTCTTATTTATTTGTTTGTTTGTTTGTTTGTTATTTATTATTTTAAAATTATCTTTATTTTATAGGTACCTGGAAACTTTTCATTTCTTCATTCACACAAAAGCTGGATTTCTCTCAAATTTGCTTTACACACAATACCATTTAGAAAAAATATCTTAATTATTTACTTTCAGAATATCTAAAAAATATAAGCATAAACCCCCTTAGTAACAATAATCTCTATTTTCTGGTATATAAAATTATTTGTTTTTTAATAAAAGGCAAATTTAAATTTGTAAAAAAGTTCAGAAATGTGGAAGATAAAGAGAGGTGGTGAGGCTTGGTTATTACTGGTGGCCTCCATACTCTCCTGGGCTATCCCCTTTTGGATGGAACCTGCTTTGGTTTCTCTCTGTGTAACAGGTTATGATCAGTGCCTGCACACATTACAGTGAAAGGCACAAGGTTATGGTTCAGTGTTACTCTAAGAAAAATAATAATAAGATCATGTTAAAACCCCTTTTCCCTTTTGGATGATATTTCCTGAAAGGTTTTTCAGATTGACCTGTCTCAGCAGAAAATTATTGTGGCATGCAGGAAAGAAAAATCTTGCAATTGAGACTAAGTCTTAAAATATTTTTTTGACTAAAATTGCTGGAGGTAAAGTTTTATTCTCTTAGTTGGAATCTCTGTCACCCATAAAAACTGGAACAATGTGAGTCTCCTCAGTCTCCTATTGTACTTACAAAATGTATTGGAAACAATACAGAAATAGGGATTTAGCCTGTCAACCTAAATACTAGAAGTCTCCTATTTATTGCAACTAATATGCATAGATAGATTGAGTGTGTACTAGAGAATATTATATGTCTATTTTTTATGCAAATAGAACCCTAACCCTATTAAAAATGTAAAAAAAAAAAAAAATTGTGGCATGGGTAAATTTGTGACCTCTGAATGCTGTCTTAAAGGGTAACTTATTATTTGAAGTGCCTATTGTTATATATTTCATTTGTTCTCAGCCAGTTTTTCATTGCAGGAGGATGTGGCTGCAGAGAGGAGAAAACAGGCTGTTGTAGAACAAGTTATGGTGGATCAATTATGTAGGTAAATGAATTTATAATGTAAAATCTCAATTTTCCCTACAGAAGAATTTAGATCTGTTAGTGGTTGGCTTAAGAGGTGTTTTGGTCATCTTATGAAGTCTAATGTAGTAGTATTACTTGCAAAAATTCTTTAAATGGAAAGTCTTTTTAATACAACTTAAACTATCAGTTTAAAGTGCCATGTGTATGTTATTTTCTTTTCTGGAAATAATTTTTAATTTTATACTTTAATGTATTTTAATGTCTTTACAATAGCACTAGCTCTCAAAAGTAGCCCTCTTGCACCTCAAGAAAATATATGGATGCCTGATGTTATAAATTACACATCCTCAATATTTATTGTCCTTTCTAAAAATCTTAGCTTTAGTACTGTTTATTAATTCTTTATTAATACTGACACAGCACCTTTCAGGCATAAAGAAGTATTATACCAATGCTGGGCATGTAGAAAAAAAAAGGCACTATTATAAGTTGAGGTTGTACAGTAAGATCTCCTGCCTTCATTGCTGTCCCTTTAGCTTCAAGAAAGCGTCACTTCTGTGCAGAAAGATCCCTCTATTTTAAGCATGCTTTAATAATTCAGGGCTTTATGCAAGCTGTCTGGTTATGACAGTATAAGATGCAAGCTTGTTTAATATAGTTTCATGTTATTTTACACTTCCTAAAAATTATCTGTGGGTATGTCTAGATTATTTTGCATTCTGTGCGTAGTTTACAATCTCTGGAGTCATCTGCAGTGGTGTTCCAGCCCATCAAATCCTAGGATTTTGAGGTTGAAATGTTGTTGCAGTTCACCATTTTAGTTTTACTTTGTTTCTGTTACAATGACTGTTTAAATGACCTATATTGTTTAAAAGTCTATTAACACTTTTACACTATTTAAAAGCTGACATGACAAGAAGGCTGCCTGAGGGAAATAAGACTGTCATGAAACACAATGTTAAATTCCAATTTTAATCTTCATTTAGCAGGATTAAAATTATGGAACTATACAGGGTAGAAACCCCTGGTTCTCAGATAAGTGCTGGGCCTGTGTCATATCACTTTAAAGATTATTACAGAGGTGATCTTAAAAATATGCTGGTTATGTTGAAGTGTTTCAGTACTACTGATGTTGCATTAAATGAACAGCTTTGTGCCTCTTGGATCATGGATGCCCATTCTGTGTTTAACCTCCTTCTGCTGCTTTGCCTTATTTTTTCAATGTATTCCTTCTTCTACTCTGAAACCTTCTGTTGATAATGTCAAAACAATATTCAGTAGCGCTGCAGCTGCATCAAGTTTTAATTTAAAAAATCTCTCTGTTTATATTCCAAATATAACTCTGCCTGTACTTCCAAACAAATTGGTATCAGATATCAGGATGTTGATCAGAAAAGATTAGTTCAAAACTGTTGCATGAAAAAAAAGCTATTTAAAGAAATACAAAGGTGTTTTGAATATTTTTTTAGTAGGCAAATCTTGCAGTTAAATCAGTGTAACTGATGTGTACAAAGATCTATCTGTATAGATCAGAGAGCAAGTTTAGAAAACTATAATAGCCATACAAAATTATTATTTCCCTTCTGATAACAATTTCAATAGCATAACAAGCATCTCATTTATTTTTAAAGGGTCTCTTCTTTTGTTTAGTCGTTGAACTGATACAGAGAATATCAAAATGTTCAAAACCCAGTTCATCTATTTCTTTTCTGCTTGTTGGAACGTTGAAAACCTCTCAGCTGTGTAGTTAGCACTTTGAGGAAGGAAGTGCCAATGTTTTTATTGGATGACACATTGGATGGGACTCTGAGCAACCTGGTCCAGTGAAAGGTGTCCTGCCCACAGCATGGGGGTTGGAGCTAGATGATCTTTATGTTGCCTTCCAGCCTGGGCTGTTCTATGGTTCTGAGGTGATGTCACTGGCCAGTGCTAGTAGCTGATATCACTGATACTGGAGGGAGCAGTGGTTAAAGAATATCACTGATGGAATATTTACAGAAATAGTGGAAATGATGAAAAACCCCACAAGCCTTCATAATAATAAGAAGACTTATTTTATCTAAAGACACATAAAGTATCCTTTAAATAATATGTATCTGCATGCAACATTGCTGTGTAGCAGTGCACTGCCAGAATATTAATGCGTATGTTTGATTTTAAGAAATAGACTTAAGAATTTGTAAAAACAAACAAAAAAGTAGGCCCACAAATTTATGCAAGCTTAATGGATAACTCCAAGATTGTATTACTGTATTATTCTTGGGTATTTTCTTTCCTGCATTAAAATATATAAGACCTGAAATTCAGCCATACAAATAGTCAGAGGGCTTCTCCTTGCTCTTTGTGGTCAGAGCTGTCATAAGTGATCCAGAGCAGTCCACACGTTCTGATGCTTGCAAGGAAGCTCAAGGACTTCTGGGAGCTGGCATAGCACCGATGCGTTTTAGAAAAAGGACACTCCATGAAACCAAGTAAGTTTATAAAAATAAATTTTCTGCTGTATATATTTTTGTTTAGCTCTGTGAATTCTGTTTGCCTTTGCAGATGTTCTGTTTTTGGCTTGAATCCACAAGCTTCATGCAAGGCCTTTTTTGTAGCTTTCCTGTGCTTGATATTGCCTAGTGAGATAATAGGGACCTTTTTATATGAATTCTCTATGTATTATGTTTGATCCATAGAATTTATAAAACCTGTGAGAACACTGTTAAGCTTGTATTGATATTATTCATTACAAGGATTTGCCAGCCTTTTCCAAGTGGTTGGATGTTTGCAATCCTGTCAGTATCCTTTTAGAGATTCCTATCCTTAGGTGCATAAATTGCATAAATATGCATCTGTAAATGCTAATGTAGATCTTCACAATATAATCATACTTTTCTTGCATGTTTTGATTTCTGCTGCAATAATTAACCCTATTGGCATTTAAATGACGTTCCTGGACTATCAGCATTGAACTAGTTGCTCCAAGGACTTAAAAAAACCTGAGGAAACACTGTGATACATAAAATTAAATGAATCTGCAGGTCTTGAGTTTTGTTCTGTTAATTTTTCTCAACATTCAGACAAGCATTTCTGCTTTGGGCATTTTAACATCCTGCTCTAAAGTCTTTCTCATCAAATGTCATCTTTGTATTCTTAAAAAGAGGAAAAAAGGCAACAAAACCAGTCTCAATTTCTTACAACCGTCACATAGACAAATCTCCATTTCTGGAACTAGTTACAGGGCCAATATAAAATATTTAGGTGGGTACAAAAGCCCCAACCTAGGTATTTTTGCAACAGAACACATTGGTTCATGGAAGTATGGTGAGTGGTAGAGATAAAGGTTAATTCTCTGTATAAGTGTATGTAAACAGAATTTCCCATTCATATCTATGTTCTCTGTGAATGTACTCTCATGTTATATAATAACAGAGCACTTTACAGCTCTGAGTTGCTTTCTAATTCAACTACAAAGGATCATCTCCTCAGCCAGTTGCCAAGGATACCGTATTTCATAGTTTCAGCTGTTTGGAAATGGTTGTGTTTTATGTAACATTTATCTGTGGGCATATAGGTATCATTAACATGCTGCATTATTTTCACAGAGTAAGGACCAAATCAGGACTAACTGAGAACATGCTTTCCAACAAGCTACGCTTTGATAGTAGGATTATATCGAGGTAATCACAAATTTTGTGAAGCTTTTCAGTGCTCAGAATTTGTGAATGAGGATTACTCTCTTGAACTGATTAATTGCACTGAACGTTTCTGCTCTTTGTGCTGAAGAAAAAAAGTACGTGTGGATGTCCATGTATACTAAAAATTTTGACATAAGTAATGGATATTGGCTTTACAGTCCCACTGTACAATGTTAAGATCTGTAAGCAATGTTATGTTACCATCATACCCATAGCTCTATTCAGGACAGTTATCACAGGGACTGTGTAAAATAGTGCTTTTAGCTGTTGCATCTCAGTTGATTAAAATTATTTTAGCCTTATCTTAGATGTGGCAACTGCTATAAGTAGTAATGGCTTTGCAACTTGTTCATAGCTCCTTATGTATTAAACTTTAGAATGTCTTTACAGTGTTCTGATTTGAGTAGTGGTAGGATAAACATATTTTTCAGTTTTGAAAGTGATGCTTTTCTGCAGCTGTGAGCTGTATACTTGTTAGACATAGCTGGGTATTCAGCAACATACTTTCATATACCTCAATGAATGCAGTAGTTCTGGTGTATGTAATCCTTTAGTTAATCAGTGAAAATTATATTGACATACTAAAATACGAAGCCTTGAGAGGTGTTTTTAGCATTATGGAGAATAGAATATTGAATTAAAATATGTGACCAAATGCACAAGCTGAATTTCATGGTGGGTTAGAGAAAAAAGTCAAAGAGCTCTTTAAAAAAATAAATTTTACATGCAACATTGGAAATAAATTGAATACTGAGAGCAGCCTTGAGGAGAAGAACTTGGGGGTGCTGATCAATGAGAAGCAGTGTGCTTCTTGCAGCCTGCGCTTGAGCCCAGGAAACCACCCATGTCTTGGGCTGTGCCAAAAGAAATGTGGCCAGCAGGGCGAGAGAGGGGATTCTACTGTTCTTCCTCTCTCCCATCAGACCCCACCTGCACTGCTGTGTCCATCTCTGGGATCCCCAGCATGAGAAGGACCTGTTGGAGTGATCCACAGGAAAGTCACAAATATAATCAGAGGGATGGAGCACCTGTCTTATGAAGATAGGTTGAGAGAGTTGAATTGTCCAGTCAGGAAAAGGGAAGCCTCCAGGGAGACCCTCTTGCAGCCTTCCAGTGCCTACAGGGAGGCTGCAGGGAAGATGGAGAGGGACTTTTTTAAAGGGTGTGTAGCAACAGGACAAGGGGGAATGGCTTCAAACTAAAAGCGGGCAGGTTTGGATTAGATAACAGGAAGAAATTCTTTACTGTGAAGCTGGTGAGGCACTGGAACAGATTGCACAGAGAAGCTGTGGATGCCCCATTCCTGCAGGCATTCAAGGCCAAACTGGATGGAGCTCTGAGCAGAGGGGTCTAGTGAAAGGTGTCCTGGCCCATGCCAGGGGTTTTGGAACTAGATGATCTTTAAGGTCTCTTCCAACTCAAACCATTCTGATTCCTAAATAAATGTTACTTATTTTTGGGTTGAATTGGATTCATATAGGTGAAAAAAATAAAGGTGCTTTTCAATTTTCCTTCTAGAAATGGTCACGATGCTTGTAGGGAGTTGATTGGATTTTTTTTTGCATGTGACAAATCCCTTACTGTGTATGAATATCGACAGTTTGGAAAAAACAGGTAGGATTAATTACTTTTTTAAAGGGTTTTATAAAACATTTCACTGTATCTAAGAAACTTAAATAAATTTAATTGTTTTAGTACTAGTTTTGAATTATTTCACAGGACAAATGCCTTGCCTTTCATTCAGAAGGGAGTTTATCAACATCAACGTGGACAAAGAAAGGGAAAAGCTTATGATCTTAGTGACTTCTACATTGTAAGTATTCTTCTGCTGAATATCTTTTTTTGGAGGCAATATTTGAATATTTGAATTATAAATTGTGATCTAGACTTCTTTTCGTCTGAGAAGACTAAAAGTCTTCCCCTTGAATTAAAGATTCTCAGAAGTCTGGATTGTTTTGTTGTCCCACGTTTTAGAAGTTGCCAATTTAGGTTTCAGATTAAGCTGTAGCTTGCAGTTTTCCCCCTAGAGGGCACAAGACTGCTGACAGTGTGGACCTTTTTTGGACGAAATGATCCACTCGGCAAGGAGAGTCCTGAAGAGGAAGCAGACCAAAGTACTTGTTAAAAGTAAATAGTCTTTGCAAGGTCTGCTGGCATTTTAAACTCGAAGCAATGATTAAATATTTATTAAATGAAGAAATTGCAGGTTAATTGTTTTTAGCCTACAGTTTGAAATGTAAACAACCAGATGTTTAGAGCAAGTGTATGAAACAATGTTAAACTTTGTCTACCAGCTAATCTGATGACTGACTAAAAATCATATAGCACCTTCTGTACTGCTCTACTTCTGTATTGGGTGAAGTGTTCATGGTTTATAAATACTTGAGCAAGTTTTCAAGTACAGGCTGTTTTCACCAAATTCTTCACGTGCTCCTCCTTCAAATCTGAAGTTTAGAGGGAAAACCATGATTGTAGAAAGTAAAAGAAGTCGACATTAGTTTTTAGTGTGTTTTGTCTAATCATCTGCCTATCCTAACACATAGGTTACACAGCCACCTAAGAATTTCAAAGATGAAATAGATGAGTTTATTATATGGAAGATAAAGCTACTTGTTGGGATTTTAATATTTTATTGTCATGTGTATTTTTGCAGCCTGCAGATGGAAATGTGTTCTGAGTAAAGGTTCATCATAAAGTCATTCTGAAAGTGCACTGCATCGAGTTCAGTAACCCTTTGGGATGATGCTGTGTCTGTGAATCTCCATATCTGCACTCTTGCTTTCTGGGCTGACATTAAGATATGCAGATCTCTCATGAAGTCCAAGTGCTTGAGACCCCTGCACAATATCAGTGTCTCTGTCTCCTCCCAAATTCATGAGTTTTGGAGACTTTATAAACCAAGACTGTCCAGATATTACTGTCAGAGCTACTGCATTTTTTTTATTCTTCTCAGCATTCTTTGCTTTTAGTTTCCTGCTTTTCTTCCTTTCCCCTCTATTTACAAAATACACAACCTATTTTTAAATCATTGTGTGCTTTATCAACAGGGAGCCAATCTGACTTTCAGAAGTGTTGCTCATAACCTTCCAGAAAGTGTTAAGCAGAACCCCGTCTTCACCCTTCGTGTGATAAGTATTGATGAAGCAGCTATGGATAATCTAAAGTAAGTGCTGCTAACTACTTTTCAAATTACCTTACCTTCCTTAAGCAAAAATAAAAAAAATTAAGCTCCTAATACCTTATTACTTACACTGCTAAAAACAGAATCCATATTTAGGCTGTTCATAAGAGAAATTAGTAATAGATGTTAGAGGATTTTGCCTAGTTCTGTAACTTCCTAGAATGGTAAGGAGTAATTTTAAAGTAAGAATTGAAATGTGAAGCTGTTCTATTTTCTTTGCTTGAGGTCATGTGTTTTTATATGCAAATCATATACCTCCTGTGTTTCAGTTTGTGCCCATTGCCTCTTGTCAACAGGCACCACTGAGCAGAGCCTGTCACAGTTTTCTTTACTCATTTCTGTCAGGTATTTATATATACTTGAGGGTAAGATCACTCAAGGCTTCTATTCTCCAGGCTAAACAGTTCCAGCTCTCCCAGCCTCTCCTCATGTATCTTGTACTTTGATCCCTTCCTGATTAGGAAGAGACTAATTTTAATCTCAATTAAATACACTCACTATGTAAGGACTACTTTGTTAGCAGAACTTGACTATTATTTTCTTTCTGCAAGTGTTTAGACACATGAAGCTTGTAATGTGAAGCTCAGATATGGTAATATTCACTTAAAGTCCCTTTAGACTGAAAGCTTTGCAAAAGAGCCATAATAAGCTAACAGTGCATAAAACAGTAAATTTGAATTTAATTGGTTCTAGAAGTGTATAGTTGTATGATGCTTGCTGCTAATTGTTCCCTCTTGGCAAAGTTTCAGTGAAATAAAACACAATATAGTTTAATTTCAGATAGTTTATGTAAGACATTTTACATCTCAGAAACCTATCATTCAAGTAAACAGCTTCTTCTTTCATTTGTTGCTGATCTTATACCTGTGAAATTTGGAGTTGAACCAATGTTATCTCTGAATAGAAGAACCAAAAAGAAGACCTGCCCAATGCGTTGTAATTTTGGATTTTGTGCTATCTGTGTGGAATAGATTATTTCCTTTTTTATACTCTCTCTGTATTCTTTTCATTAGTGACTAAATGTCAGTGTATCTTTTTCTTCTCTATGAGGATGTTATTGAGCTCTCTATTCTCTGGTGCAAAATGCTTGAATTGAGTCCTCTTACCTTCATTACTCTACTAACAGAAAATCCTGTTCAGCTACAGTCCAAGAGGTATACTGCAGGTTCCCAGGAGCAGCTATGCCCTTCTGTCACAAACCATGAATCATTTGGTTTACATGTGTTCTAGAGGGGAGTACATTGTCCTCTGCAGGTGCTTCTTGACTTTCCAGTTTAGGTGATCTGGTGTAGGTAAGCTTTTAGGGACTTCATAATGAGGGGTACCCAGAGTGGAGATGAAGAGTCCTACTAGATAACAGAGAGATAAGTCTTTGGCCTCAGAAAGCAGGAGTATGTCATGGCAAAACACTGGTGAGCAAGCAGTTTTCCATTTTTTTAAATATTCTGATTAAAATAATTGTAAGACTTTTTTGGTTTATTTTTTTTTTCTTCCAGTAGGTTCTTCTGCAATTTTAACGACCTTTATAGGAATTTCTGTTGAAGACTTGTGGGAAGCCCTTCTCAGAAGGGAGCTTAGCAGAAATAAACCCACAAAATTTAACCATAATTTCTAGATATACTTTTGGTCTACACCTTTGCTCTTTGTGTTCTAAAGAGAGATTTGAACAGTATTTCATGTTATTTTCCTGTTGGTGATTAAATGTGGTTGCTTTAACAAACTCTTCCAGTGGTATGAGATTAAGATTGAACTAAATTTCTTGGGATTTTATGCATGGGAAGAATTATCCATGGTTAATGAATTAGTAGAGGAAATGCCAGTTAATACTGTTAGAAAAGAATTTCTGCATATCTGCAGCTAGTCAGCAAGGACTTTTGTGAAGGCCCTCTCAAACTCAAGCAATTGGATATTGTGCTTATTAGGGTCATATATGAATTAGAGTTGAATATGTTGGGATTTTTTACTACATCTGTTTTGAATATAGTCATATTACATGTAATTTCACCAATCAGTATTAATTTTGACTTCTTTAGAGCTTCTTCTGTGGAACTCAAGGAAGAGTGTTCCAGGCAACTGGTTGATGACAGCAAAGTTTTCAAGAAGATTCAAGGTTTGTATCTACCAGAACCCATTTAATTTTAATATCTATATCCCTGTCTTTACAGCTCAGTGCAATGAACAATAGCGATGTTATGAAGATTTTGTGTAAATTAAACAAAAGTTAGATATTTATCAGAATATTATTAGAATCTGTTACCAGCACAAATCACTCATAAGAAAGCTTTCTCCTATCTCTTCAAATAAATGATCTGGGTAAAGATTGTGCAGAATGTACAGAGTAATTATGAGTGTAATCAATAAAATGTTAATCTCTGTGTTGACCTAATCCCAGAAAAAAATTCTGAAAAATAACACTGATGCTATGTTACACTGTCATTAAATTTGTTGTTGGCCAAGTGTACAAACACCATCTCATTTCTTCCATCAATTTTGTGCTAGATACTTCTTTTGGCCATTGCTTCTATACACTGATAAGTTGCATTTTGATATTCTCTATTATTTTGCTTTTTAAAAATTATGAGTATAATTGTGCAGTGTAGTCTGGAATATATAAATAAATTCTACCATGTTCCTATTTACAGTCTTTAGGACAAAGGCATAGCTTTTTGCTGAAGATTATGGAAAGATATTTGTACAGTGTTGTGTTTATTTTTGTAACCTTGTCAATAAAAATGGTTGATCTGAGCAGCTCACAGCTTGTATAATCTCCCCTGACTACTGTCATTAACCTGCTTTAAGTAGGCACTCTTTGGTCACTAGAATCTGCTTGGACATTGACTTTTACAAAAAAATTGTTGGAATAATAATTAGGGTTATTAGGGTTATTTTTAAATCTTCCATTTTCCCCTTGCATAACTGACACAAGCTGACTTTTCAGTTATCTGACTACATCTAAGGTTTGCTGGTGTTCGCTGGAAGAATGCTGTGTGTGTATACTTCAAGGCACCTTTTAACATATGTCTGAGTTTCAGCATCACTGGAAAAAATTTCCTGCTTTCACCTGGCCCCTATTTGTCTTTAAAATTGTAGATGCAACTAATTTGAAGGTAATAGCATGAGATTTCTGTTAACAAAGCTGAGAAACTCAGACATCCCTAAGTGAAATTGCTAGCTGAAGACTTTCATAAATCTTACCAGAGAAATTGCGTATAATTTGGGAATGATTTTGCCAAATTGGTAATTTTTGTTCTCATTCCTACATGCACTTAACAAGTTTGTAGAAAAAAGAAACAACTCTGTGTCTCATGATAGAATTTTTGTATTGTTCTGAAGTAGTTGTTCCAAAGTTACTTTGTATGGTAAATCATGGCATGTAATCCGTTCTCACAGAAGCAGGCAGTTTTACAGTCTTAACATATAGAGGACAATAGCCATTTCTCTTTTCCTTATGTAGTCTCTTTGAAAAAAGTTTGTTAGATATTGCTTGTTAGACATACTTCATATGACTTCCGCTCAAATGTTAAATAACTGGTGGTTTCCTTTTGGACGGGCATTCTTTCGTCAAAGACAAGGGAGCCCCAGTGCATGGGTATGTCTTTCTAACAAGCACCATCATACGTAGACATGGTGTTCTTTACTTCTATATTGTCTCCATAGCAAGTGGACAACTTCAGGTAAATGTTGTGTCCTTGATTTCTCAAAATCCTCAGGTATATTCAGAGAAACACTAAGTAAAAGAGGAGTTCGGGTTATAACAAGCTTAGGAAAGTATTTCCGACAAATAGACAAGAACAGAAATGGCTTTCTTTCTCAAGCAACCTTGAAAGAAGCTCTAAAAGTATTCAATTTGGAAATACCTGAAGGGGTGAGTCTAGCTGAAACTGTAAACATGGGTATTATCTTTCTTAATTTATGTAATTGCTGCTTTTCTTTGCTTAAATCTATAGTTTAATGCCTGGGTTGTGCATGTTTTCCTTTGGTGGTTTTTTAATTTCCCTTATAGTATGTTGGCATTTCTGCATTCAGTTCTATGTGAAGTTTTTCAAAATAAAAAATAATATATTTAAAAACATGCAATCTTTTTACATCATGACGTGAAGAAGCAAGTGTGATTGCAACCCATTTTTTCTCTGTAGGCTTTAAAAAGATAATTTAGTTTATGCTCTTTACTTAGGTTTTTTTACTTTGTTTTATAAATTTTGTTGTAAAAGTAGCTCACAGCTATCAGAACTGTGAATAACATGAATTATGGTCATCAGTGACGACTGATGACATGCATTATTTTTACAAATCTTTGAGTGAGTTTGCATCTAGAGGTTTGGGGGTTTTTGTGAGAATACTGTAACTTTCCATTATAGCAATTGTCTTATTTCAGGATATAATGAAGAACTTAGGCAAAATATTTTTAAATTGCAGGACTTTGAATCCTTATGGCTTATTCTTGATGATAGCAAGAGTGATAAGGTCGACTATGGAGAATTCACCCATGCCATCTTTGGAGAAATGAATGAATATAGGAAAGCATTTGTAAGAAAAGTAAGTTTTATTGCAGATATTTAAGCGTAAATATTACGTTGTCTAACTTCGGAGTTAGTTACTCATCATATTCTAGTTGTTGAGTTTTGTTATTATTTTTCTTAAGTTCTGTACCTGGAAATTGACTTCTTAAAGCTTCAGTTCAGTTTAACAACAGAAAGGTAAATTAGTGGACTGTTAAAATAGTTCATTTTAAATTCTAGGAATAATTCCTTTATTATTTTGAGTTTTCATGCATATGTGCTCTTCTTATAGTTCAGTCCAGAGTATAAAGCATCTGACACCTTTAGATGATCTCTTCCAAAAGTCTGTTTCCTTATTTTTGCAAAAGACAAATTTTGGCAAGTCTGCATGAATAGGCTTTCTTCCTGCAGTGCTTGAAATAGGAGGCATTAATACTTGTCTCCTTTGAAGCCTACAGTAAGAATCATATTTGTGAGATGTTAGGTGTGAAATGCAACTTATTTGTCTGTAATGTAATGTGGAGCTGTTTGCAGTATCAGATATTTACCACAAACCAGCCAAAGGAGTAGTAAGTGGATATCAAAATCAAGAAAAATGACATATACTTTCATGCTTTCAATCATGGAGGATCCAAATCTCCTAGCCTTATGTATCAAGCCTGTGTATTTGAGTAAACAAATGAAAATGAAGCTGCTCTTAGCGGTGCTGGAGAGGCTGTGGGGAGGCTTCTGTCAGAATGATGCAGAATCTTAATAATTGGAGGAGGCAGAAGGAAAGCAGCTAAACTTCTGATTCTAAGGATGAGATAGAAATTAGGGAGAGAAGACAATTATTTTTCTTTGACGAGGGGACACACATTTGATGTAAAAACTGTTGAGGTAAAATAATCATGAAACTTCATAATCTAGAATGTTTTTCTGGTATCTAGTACCTTACATAAAATAGGTAAACTGATATAATCCATTGTACAAGATCCAAAAGTGTGTACCTAGATAGTTAAGTGTATTTGATCTTTTAATATTTCCACTTTTTTCCCCTGAGATGCTTATATGAAACTTTTTTTCCTCCTATAGGCTTATATGAAACTAGATTTCAACAAAACTGGGAATATACCTATGATAAATGTCAGAAAATGTTACTGTGCAAAGAAACATCCTGTGGTATTGACAGGTAATTCACATGAACAAACTAACAAACAACCCAAAATCTCAAACTACAGAGGTCATCTTGTTACCAGAGACAGCAGATCTGAAAACTGGTTGGAAATAAAAACTGTTTTATTATTTTCTTAGACTTGAGCTGTCAAAGGGGAACTTTCTTCATCTGAGGACTTAAAATGAGTCTCTCCAGAGCATGACAATAAGTAGTAATGGAATTAATGTACACGGTTTTAATACTTGCTCTCTATCAAGCTGCTAATACTGCCTGTATGCAGAGTAGTTCTTTTCCCTGCCTCTGTAAGCAGTTATTTCTCAGCTTTCATCTGTAAGTTTTCAGTGGCAAATATGATACCAATAATTTTCACTCAGTAGAATACTCTTATTTTCACATTACTGTTTTCCATCAAAATATGTAAGGATTCCAACTGACAGAATGTACTCAGCACTTGAATGATTTATTCAGAAGGAACTTAATTTATTTCTGGGACAGGTTTGTCATCCTTTGCAGAGGAAATGCTGGTTTATTCATTATTTTTTCAGGATTCTCAAAAATTTTTAAAGTCTGCCATTGAAAAAATAAGACTTTAAATATTTGTTTGTCAGTTTTAAAAAACAACACCCCATATACCAAACTAGTAGCTGTGAAAGTCTCCATGCTGTCATGACCCTTTCTTTTTCGTCTGTAGAAGAGAGGATTTTTTTTATATTGCCAGTGATTTTAATGGTAACACATGAAGTTACATGGGGGTATGGAATACAATATGAGATTTTTTTTCCAATGCTGTAATGCCATATTTTTTGTACTTTTCTTCTCAATGCTACATCCTGAATATTATCTTTATAAAATTTCTAGGACACAGATGTAAATTGCAGAACACTTTTCAAACACATATTTCCATCTTAAAGTTTTCCCAGAACTTTCACGTTTTATTGCAGTAAACATGCTTTCTTACAAGATAACTTCAGAATTTTAGTTTACAAATGCATTATGCAGCTCTTGCAATCATTTGAAGAAAAAAAAAATTCCTGATCTCATAATTCATTGCAACTGGTTATCCCCATGTTTTCTGTTGATACTTAATTCTGTCATGCTATTAAAGTAAGGTAATTTCTACAGGTGGTAATAAGTAAGCCAATGACTTAATTCTGAAATCAGAATATTGAATTTGTGCATGAAAAAAGTATTTGCAAGCTAAAATTTGAAGCTTTCTTGCCTTAAGTATATTAAATGCTACATATTCACTCTTCTTTAAAATGTATTTAATAGAAAAATATACTTTTATAGGCAAAACTGCAGAAGAAGAAATGAAATCTTCATTTCTAGAAGCATTAGGAGAGTCCTGCAGCAACCCCAATGAAGTGTCCTATTCTGAGTTTGAAGATTACTATGAAGGATTAAGTTTTGGAATTGTGGATGATGATGATTTTGTTAACATCTTAAGGAATTCATGGGGAATTTAGAGTGGAAGATGACAAAAAAGAAGAAGGGACTTTTCTAAACAAGGAATGGCTGAATAAGAGAGGATTAAATCTTGATATGCTTTATAATTAGTGTCTTAAACTGATTTCAGTGACAGAAAACTTTAGATGCTTTCAGAATAATATGTGGCAAATTTCATGGAGTGTCTGTTGAGTTATGGTAGCCACTCTTCTAATAAAAATACTGTTCATGACTTTTCACTGGAAATTATTAAGGCTGTTTCCCATATCAAAAGCCATATTTTTTTATATTAAAATAAAGTGTCCTATTTTAAAATAAGGGAATTAGAATACTAAAATGCCTGAAGGGGTATGTGCAAGAGAAAATTTTGTTTTATGATGCATTGTGAAAAGCTTCAGATTTGACTGCATAAATATGAATTGTAGCTTTTCTTCAGAAATTTTCTTATAGCATTCTTTGTCTCACTTATTTTTTCTTATGCAGGTACTTAGCTTGAAAGAGAGCAGGTCATCCTTTTCTGATTTTGAGGATGTCTACTGTACTGAAAGTGCAGAGATGTTCACAGCATTAGCCCCTTGGCCTGTGCACTGTCTTGACTGATCTTGCTTTGTCATTTTGGTCAGGCATCCGAAGCTGAGCATTGAATCTCAAAGGTTTTAGTAATCACACATGTATTTTATAATGCTTATCTTCCTTTCCTGTATTTTGCTAAGTGGTTTTCAAAACAAATAATTTATATTTAAATATCTGTTTTCTTTATATTGCTGGGATTTTTAAACTAAAACATAACAATTAAAGATTTTGTCAAACTGATATATAGCATTTTCTATCTACTCTGAAAGTATAAAAGAGAAAAGTATTTTTTAAAAGGCCCAAAAAAACCACCTCTGCCATCACAAAAATTAAATCATATATTAAAATACTCTCTGCTATTTCAGATGTTCTGACAGGTACAATTCTCAATGTAATACATCTTGCTAATTCTGTAAAATTCTTTGTGTTAAGAAATAAAAATATATAGTTAATGAGAGAAAGACTTTGGTTTTCATAGACCTGTCACTGAAATTAACTGTATGTTGAGCCTATGCAATTAAAATTTATAACTTTCCTCTAAGCTTGTCTGCCAGGTTTTGAATTTATAGTCTGTGGTTAAAAGAATCTTCCTCTGAGACAGAATTTGTGTTTCACAGGAATTAAAGGGCAGTGCTGGGATGGATGCTGAAATGAGAGACTTTGGTCCCCTGTGGCTGACTAGCGTAGTCTAGATATAGTATTTCCTTGTTCTAATCACTTGTGTGTTTTTATGTCTGGATTGTTTGACCTGGCCTCAGATGTAACAAGTACTGGAGGTTCTACTCTAAATCATCAAATGAGGGATTTTGGGGGGCTCTGTTGGAGCTGTAAAAGTCTGTATGTATTTTTACAGGGAAAGGCAGATTTTGTCAATACATATTCTAAGCAAGAATTCTGACTCATTATGATTTTCTTGTTCCCCATTCCTGCTGGAATTTCTCTCACTGGAAAGGTTTTTTTTAATTAGTGTTCTTGGAACTGGTGATTCTGAGAATGGCAGGTAGTTCTGAGAAGGGAAGCTTTAAGTGGTAGCAGAGTCATCTGCTCATTAACTTGTCCATTCAAATAGCTGCAAAAATACCAAGTCACATTTTTGTTAGTTTTTTAAAGAAATCATGTGCTCTACTTAGACCTTTTCACTTAGGAGAATTGTGCCAACAGATAAAACTGTAGCTCAGTTTAATGAATGAAAGTGATTGTGAAATGAGGTATTGACATATTTCTTTATGCAATGTTTAATTTTATTGTGAAGCTTTTAGGAAAATTGTTTCACATTTTCCTATGGAGTGGAAAAATTCAACACAAATAGATATATACTAAGTGGGGCTGCTTGTCAGAAGAAGCTGTATAGCTCATATCTGCCACAAATTTACTTCGTTATCATGGAAATGAGGTGCTGTTAAAAGAACATAGCTTTGGTAGTCCTGCATTTTTTTTTTTTTTTTATCTGAAGATAGATACCTAAAAGGATAATCTAAGATAAATTCTAAAGGTCAAAATTTTCCAGAAAATGAAAGGAGCACTGTGGTAATTACGTGAAATCTGCTATTTGTATAATTTCTATTAACTACAAGGTCATTTACACAGGTCCTGCTTGACCAACTCAATCTCCTTTTATGATCAAGTGACCTACCTTGTGTATGAGGGAAAGGCTTTGGGAGCTTTGAGCTTCAGTAAAGTCTTTGACAGCATTTCCCACAGTGTTCTGGAGAAACTTGCTGCTCCTGGCTCAGCCAGGTGCACAGTTTGCTGGATAAAAAACTGGCTGGATGGCTGGTCCAAGAGGGTGGTGGTGAATGGAGATACATCCAGCTGGTGACTGGTCACTGGTGGTTTTCTCCAGGGCTCAGTAGTGGGGATAGTCCTGTTTAATACCTTTACTGATGATCTGTATGAGAGAATCAAGTACCTTCTTGGTAAGTTTTCAGACTGTGTGGGAGCCTTGATCTGCTGGAGGGTAGGAAGGCTCAGCAGAGGGATCTGGGCTGGACCAATAGGCTGAGGCCAATTGTATGAGGTCCTTCACTTGGGCAACAAGGCCAAATGCCAGGTCCTGCACTGGGTCACAACAACCCCAAGCAGCACTATAGGCTAGGGACACAGTGGCTGGAAAGTGGCCTGGTAGAAAAGGACCTGGGGGTGCTGGTGACAGCAACCAAACATGAGCCAATGTGTGCCCAGGTGGCCCAAGAAGGCCAGTGGCCTCGTGGCCTGGATCAGCAATGGTGTGGCCAGCAGGAGCAGGGCAGGGATTGTCCCCCTGTACTGGGCACTGGTGAGGCCACACCTCACCAGTTTTGGGGGCCTCACTGCAAGAAGGACGTTGAGGTGCTGGAGCATGTCCAGAGACGGGCAACAGTGCTGGTGAAGGGTCTAAGGGAGCTGGAGTTGTTTAGTGCAGAGAAGAGGAGTCTCAGAAGAGACCTTATTGCTCTCTATAACCACCTGAAAGGAGGGTGTAGCCAGGTGGGGGTTGGCCTCTTCTACGAGATCACCAGCAACAGGACAAGAGAAAATGGCTTCAAGTTGCAATGAGAGGAAGATTGGACATCAGGAAATGAATTTCACCAAAAGAGTGATTAAGCATTGGAACAGGCTACCCAGAGAGGTGGTGGAGTAACCATTCCTGAAAGAGTTCTAGAAATGAGCATGGTGGTTTTTGGTCAAAGGTTGGACTCTGTGATCTTGAAGGTCTTTTCCAACCTTACTGATTCTGTGATCAGTTGTTGTCTCATCAGATGTGATGTCTGTGGTGAATTTTTAATGGTATTCACAAAAGTCACTTTTATCTGCTCCCAGTTTCTCCTTGTCTAAACTTCAGATGGTGGCAAAGAATTCAAACCAAATTCAAAAGGTTTGCCCGCCATGCTTACCATGAGTAGAAAAACACAGTAACTATTCAAACCAAGGTCTGTGGTATCTGATTTTTTCATTAAGAGTTGTCTCAATGGCCTGATTAATTGTGCTCTGACTTGCTCTTATTTACTTGTGAACATTTAATGAACCTGAATCCTTTTCTTTAATCAATGCTTTGTAGCCTTAAAATCATCAGGAAATGTCTACTGGGTTTACTGCCTTTAAATGTGTTTCAAACAAAACTTTCTACATTTGCTGTCTTTTTAAGAATTGCCCATGTTTCCCAAATTAGAGTGGGGTTCTTAGTTAAAGTGGGGTTCTCAAAGAAGAATCTTCACTGAAACTCACTGCTTAATAAACCAGTTGTCTTCATGCCACCATGATTTACACTTCTGCTAAAAACTTCTAGCAATTTGCTGCAATTGAGAACATCAGCAGTGCATTATGGTGTGAATGTATTTTGTCCTATTAGATGTGCAGGCTCCCAGAAGACATGTAGAAATTAGTTTAGTGATTTAACTCCTTTTCTTAAGGTCTGTAACTACTTCATGAAATGAATATGCACTGACACTGTAACCTGGAATGTTTAAGAGCATTTTGAAAAATCGCAGCACAGGCACACAGAGGAAACCTTTGTCTGCTAATAGAAATACAGCATCCTCACCAGGGGTGGCTTTGTTGCTGAGAGGAGGCATTTCTATTGATTCACACTCAAAAAGTAATTTCTCCTCCATAAGTTACTGCCAGGTGATCAAATTTTGTGCATCTTTGTGGCCAGAACAACAAAAACATTAAAAATGTATCTACCACAGTGTGTTTGTAGGGATATGCTGTTTACTTTTGGAGTTTTGAGTTTTTGTTTTTATGGGCATTGGATATTTAATTTATTGGTTGGGTTATTTTAGTTTGTGCATTATGGTTTTTTATTGTGTGAGGGAGTTTTTTGTGTGTGTGTTTTTTGTGGGTTTTTTTTAGGTTTTATTTTTTGTTTGGTTTGGAGCATGCTATCTCTACACAGTAAAAAAGCCTAGAACTGATTTCTGATGTGTTGAAAAAAACAGGTTAGTTTCTGTGGTGAAAAAGAAGAACGTAGAAAATCATATGCTTTTTTTCCTTGATATTACTCTAAAGTTTATCCTCCTTCTTCATACTTAGCAATTCAGACCGAGATAGTTCAGTACTTGCTTTTCATGTTAACCATCTTGTCTTAGAGAAGTTGAGTCAGAACTGCTCTGTTGTAAGCATCAGAAATCTCCAGTGATGCAAGGAGTCTACTTAGGTTATTTGTTCTGCAGGGGACATTTCAAAATGTTAACCAGATTGGAAGGTTCTTAGGAAAGAAATGTGGGGAGACTTGCATTGCTTGCATGGTGACCTTATAAAATATTTGTATTTTGTGACTCCTGTACTTTCATGGTGTCCCTTTTTGACTGTGAGGAACCTGAGGCCTAAAGCTGATAAAAAAATACCTTTGAGCAAAGAAAAAAAAATTAGAGCTGCTTATCACAGGTTTCTTGATGTTTATTAGAGCATCTGTTCTATTTACCTGGGATTTATGGTATCTGACTACCTCTTTTTTGGTTTTTTTTTTTTCTCCTCTCTCATGTGCTACATTTTGCATGGAATTAATTGGGTATGTGCACAGAAGCTTCAGTATCAACATTTTCTGCCACTGTCAGAATGGATGATAACTGCTTTACACTGCTGGATACTTCACACCCATTCTGCTATAGTAAACCCCATTCTGCTGCAGCAAAGCACGGGTTAATATCAATATCAAGCTAAAATGACAGCTTCAGAGATTTATGTTAAAGCAATATTCCTTTTTTTCTTACAATTTGTGTTGAGTAAGTGAACACTTAATCACTCCTGTGTCTAATTCTGGGATCCTATGATTTGTCTTGGCATGAATTAAATCCTGCACTCACAGTGGTAAAATTATTCCCCTGAAGTAATTTCTTTTGACAATAGCATTTGCCTTGCAGATGCAGTGATTAACTGCAGGCTTCAGTTGTGAATACTGCAGTTGTTTTCATCCTCTAGACATTCTTGAATTCTTCTCTGTTCTCAATGTTTCATGACCAAAGGAAACGGCAACAGAAGTCAAACCAGTGCTTTTACTTTTCTCTTAGAACAATCATTTTGGAAGTGCCTGATGTAGCAATACAGTTTAAACCAAAATATAATATTCTGCTTTTTACAGGTTTAATATGCTTTTGAGAGATATCTGTTCTAGATATTATTGTTGCATAGACCCAAGTAACCACAGGAAATAGGCACTCCAAAAATTCAGCAGTGAGAAGTGAATCAGTTGTTAGTGCCAGATAATTAACTTTCCATATTCTTTGTGTTTATTTTTTGATACTTTGCCCTTTGTTTGAGACTATGTGATTTCTAAGTTATCTTTCCAGTTTAGCTCGGTATGCCTCCAAACTTTTCTTTTGGGAGCATCCTTCTTGGAAATGAGCTTCTTCAGTAACTGCCATAATACTAAAATATGTTCAGAAATAAATCAAAATAT